TAAAAAAAAATCATTCTTCAGTAAAATATTAGAGGAATTCAAATGGGAATTCTCCTAAGTCCTGTATTTTATTGTCTCACGCGTTAAAATTCTTTGTTCTCTCCCCTTCCTCCAACTTTCATTATACATTGACCTGATTCATTTGCCGATCTATAAAGATTAAAAAAGGTCACTTTTAGGTCGGAATCAGCCTCATACAAATGGAAAAACCGAAAAAAATCAAACTACCTTATTCTCTTATCGTCTTCCTGGACGTCGCGTGCAGCCTTATGGTAATTCAGTTGAGTTAAGAGTCCGCCCGTCGGTCAGCCTGGATCGCATCGAGGGGTCTCAAGCCTCATTCCACATTTGAGGCGACTGACCTAACCACCCCTACACAGTAAGTATCCTAGACGGTAAAACACGACATTATTCCTCAACCCCAAATGTTTTTCCCTGTATTTCACGCACCGTGATCCCTAACATAAAATAAATTTATCTGAGAAAGTCATGAATATGTGATTTTTTTATAATGAAAAGAGAAGCCAGTGGAATGGTGGGTTCTTTTGGGGTGGGCTGTAATTCTTACGAGGCGGTTCTACTCCTCCGCACAATAATCACGCAACTCGTAAGGCGGAGGAGGTCGAGCCATTAACGGCCTCCGAATTATCATGGCTGAGTCATCGCGCATATACATATATAGCCCTGTCTTACGCAGCTTGTTGCCACTAGGTTCATTGATTTTCGATCATGTTTCATGACCCTGTTGAACCTACTGGTATAAGTATTGAAAGACCCGAATACTCTTTCTGTACTGCATCAACAATTGATGTTTTTTTTTCATTCTGTAACTCTACAACTTGAAAAGAAAACTTTAACTGATAGTGAAGAGTTAATATTTCTTCATTCAAAAGCTCTGCTCAATTCCAACGTAAATTTTAAGTAGCTAGGACATTTTTTCATAACTAGGACATTTATTTTGTTAGGTAAAAAAATTCAGTCGTACTGTGTGTTAACAAAAATAGAAATGTAAATTCATAATTCATCGAGATGAATGATTACATTGTTCGAACCCGAATGCATACACAAATTCTAAATATTGAAACTAACCATCGAATATAAATGAATTTCCCATAAGACATTTCTTTCAAATCTTTCCTCAAGCGACTTCGATCAAATTTTTCAACAGTTGGAAATGAAATTCCCTCATTGATTGGTCAGCCTCTACATGATAACCAGAAGAAATCATTCAATGATAGAATATGAAATCTTCTTCCACCTTATGGTGCTGACAGAGGTCACTGACAGTATGTATGAGAAAAAAAACACGAAAAATACATTGTTACGATAATTAATTATCTATTTATTGATAATAATTATTCTTTCAATGGACGGAACCACATGATTATTCCGATACACAAATTTAAAGCAAGAAAACCGAACTGGATTATCAAATACATCAAAGAAACAAACAGCACGAGTAATCCATATACTTAACCTCCATTATGACCATCGTCATCATCATTATCAGTAAAAAACTAACTGAGATAGGCGAGATCCCCTGTAGCGTTGTTGATCTAAGGGTGGCTAACCACTACCCTCGATTCTACCCCTACCCCAACCTCCAACCCAATGCACGCCACCCTCCTCTCCACGTGACGACGCCCGGCGTTGAAGTCGAAGGGGTCACCAAGTCGACCACTGCGACAACCCCTTCACATGCCACGGCGAGTACCTCGTGGCCACGTGCGACGACCTATAGAGTCCTGGCACTCAAAAATGTCGCAACCAAAATGTGAAGCTGTTACCATTCCACAAAGCAAATTTACTTTCACCTAATTGAATTAGTCCTTTACTGAATGTGCATGCAGGTGCTCGGAGTGTCATTAATAGCAAGTGTTCATAATCACTTATGATTCTTTTTTTCATTCATGACGCAGTGCAGTGTTATCCGCAATTTGTTTTCATTATCGATCGGTCAAACATTTGGAATGACAAGGAAAAGTGTGAAAGAGAAGAGTAATTGATTTGTTAATGTCATCAAGAAGGTAAGAATTCATTTTATCCTTCCGCTTGAGGTAATGACTTTCCTCAAAATCTCTATTAAACATTGACATGAGTTTTGCACTGTTTGAAATCAGTAATATTAAAAAAATCCATTACCTCAATGAGTGAATCAAGTTTTGAACTATATTTGAGACAAATAATATTGATTTATGTTGATATCACCGGGACAAATGATTTGACTCGTTTCTTGGCTTAAATCTACTTTTCATCATATCAAATTGATGAAAAAGATCATCAGAGTAGTTTTCACTTTTGATTTACGATTTTTGCACATTCGTCCTTGATTCTATTGAACTTGAGTGAAGTAGTTTCGATTTTTTATGCAAAATGGACGATTCGTTTATTCGCGCTGTAAAGTTTATAGGGGCTTTACGGCGAGATAACAATACTTTATTTACGATTATCACAAGTGTCATAAAGAGGCCTGAAGCAACACACCCTGCGTATTATACTGCACTAACAAAGCAAATTCACAGATTAGTATAAACTATTTTGTAGTCTGAGAAACCATTCTTGAAGCTAGTCTCTTATTTTTATCAAAATTCATTTCAAGTTTATGCATGAGCTTGTAGCTGATCATCGCCCGACGGTTTTCTGCCAAGCATTTACATTTTATGCACATTACGACTGGTAATGACAGAAAAGAAGTCAATTTATGTTTCGATTTCCCGAGTAAGGGCAAAGAAAATTAAGGTGATTTATACAACATTAAATATGTGATGACATAATGCAGCGTCAAGTGATGAAATGACGACTAAGGAGATACAGCATATCGAGTATTATTGCTTGATGTTCTAGGTATTAAATTCAACTTTTATAATTTTACGACCTGGAAGAAATTTCCATGACCTGATTTCAATTGTTTTCTATGCATTCAAATAGGTCACAGGATTTTTAAAACGCGGTCATATTTGTCGGAAAAATAATTGCTCGTAGAAAATAGCTGTTTACTAATTTTGATCTGACCCGATTTTCGGTCACGCACCGGTCCTGATGCACGTGGATCAAATATATCTCTTGCCTCCTGTTGCATGAACGTTTCGAATATAAAAAATAGATACGCAGAATATGATAATTTCATCAGCCAACAGCGTTGATTTACAGTTGAATATGCAGTAATGTTAATTATCAGTGTGTCAAAAGGGCAATTTCTCACGACTGGTAAAAGATAAACCTCACATACTAAAGGCAACAAATGGTTAGATGATGAATAGTAGCGACCTCATTTCATGATTATAAAATCGATATTAAGGACTTTATCGGCTTGCAAAATCATTGGCGACACAAATTACCAGCTCTATTTCCCCTTTTTTTCTTTCAGGACACGGACGAGAAAAGCGGAAATAATTCCTGTTTCATCGTTGAGGTTTTTTTTCAATGCTTATGAAATAAAATGTATTTAATGATTGCCTTTAGCGCATAAAACTGTATACCTTAACAACAGCCATCAATAATTTACATGGCACGCACTATCGGACCAACATTTGTCCACACTGAACCTCATTTTATTCATTCTGAAGGGAAAAATACCTGGCCATTCGTAATGTTTGCTTGTTTGACGTGCGCACAGAACCATAAAACATTCTAGGGAGAACTGACCGAAATTCAGGTTACGGTGAGCAACCGTTTGAATAGAAAACCGCGCAAATTACATATAAGATAGCCAGGAATAGACTTAAAATGTAGCGATTTTTCAATCCTTCTTGGTTTGAGGTTGGCACGGTCTTGTATGTGGTAAAAGAATCATTTAAGGAGATGTATCCAAAAAATTGGCAGATTCAATAAGTTGATCGAAATTTTTTTGTCGAAAGGAGAGATTCAGAGGAATTTATGGAAGCACTGTTTTTAAACCATATTTCAGGAGCTATGAAAATAATTCTCTATCATTTTTCTTTGAGTTTAGTAATTTTTTAGATATTTTAGTTGACTTGTTTACTATTTTCATTATTATTTTACTGAAAATAATAATTATTATTTCAAATAATTGATTTTTCAGTTTCATAATTATTACATTTTATTATTATTATTATCATTTTTATTCTTATTTATATATACTACTGTATATCGCCACCGTCCTTCTAAGGGCAAATATTCATCATCATTTGCGGCTTCTTACGGGATAGACAGAACGCCGGTGCTGCCTTATGCTCCACGGGATATTGAGTCCGTAGTCGTGAATGAGAGGTGTAAGATTTACTGGAACTTCTCGTTTGCGACCATCAGGCCTATCGCTGCGACGAGGCCTGATGTTGTCTTAGCGATTAGGACTAGCTTGTATCGCTTAGCTTACTGGGTGATCTTCGAGGTAAAGTCGGAGCCCTCGAAGATCATTCAGCGATCTCTTTCACGAGTAAAAATGATAATAATGATAATAATAATAATAATAATAATAATAATAATAATAATACTGTCATTGGCTGAAATCGCAAACTGGACAGATAATCAATGGTAAATACTGTACCCCAGTGGCCTAGGATCTGAATGGCGAAGATAATTACAATAATACGAAAATTGTTGTGCCGATAGTTTTCGATAATCAATCATTTTCAATCAGAATAGTACCCGGGGACATTCTCCTACTCATCTTATTTTCTTGTCCTTCCTAATGTTAAACAAATAAATTCGCAAATCACTAAAAATAATATAATGGGTCTAGAGAAAAATGTTGAGAAATTTTCCTATGGAACTTTTCATAAAAAGGCTCTCCTGTTTTCCGATTTTGTACGTCCTTCGGCAATTTTCTAGCTCATTGACCATTGATATTGACCATTGATTTGCTGCTAATTGGTACTGGAATTACTCAGCGTAGTACCAATACATTGAAGAACAATTAGAGAAATGAAAAATTAATCAAAAGCCGTTTGCTCTATCACGCAATTGGAGGTATTGATCACCAAATGACGTAAATAATAAATCAGTGGAGAAATCGATTGAAATGCCGATTTTATTGGCAGAATGCCCTCAGAGGAATGGGTGAAGGTATGGATCTACCTGAACTTTGTGCTGGGGTTGACCAGGAGTTCACGGCCAAGGTTCGACACTTCAACGGATATGGGAATGGTTCTGGTACCTGCCGATGCAGAAATCGAATCGGTGATTTTTCGATTACGAGCCACGGATCAAGATGCAGATTTCCCACTAGTTTTCGATATTACAGGTATCCAATATCGTAATCGTTTCTCGAAATCATTCATTGAACGGGACATTCGGGTTCCGCTAAAGGCTCTCACATTTTTGAAATGGAGAATAAATTAATGAAAAATATCAAGTATTCTTCATTGTCAAAAATTTTCATGTGAAAAACTTGACTTTGCGATTTCATAGTAATTGCTGGCCATTCATTATTCATTGAAAATAATTTGAGGCTTTGAATTGTTGTAGTTCTTTCAATATAGAAAATGAATATGATTTGAACTGGCAGTCGTATTTTAACCCTCTGACTCGCAATGTTATCCCCACTACCTATGGGGGCCGAACGTTCGACGTGGAAGTGGCTGAATAGTGAGCGCGCGAACAATCACGTTTTTCTTCGTCTTTGCTAAAAATTCATTTGCATTTATTTCACATTTTAATAATGAATTGAAATACTTATTCATGCAGAAAGTGTTTTCAACTATAAAACAGTGAAATATCTGAACATATTCTCCTCCAATTTCCAATTTTTCCAATTTTTAATACTATTCAATTGAAAATCATGAATTCTCCGAGGTTCCGAATTGTGGTCATTTTTCAGCTACTGTTAGCCCCGTAGTAAGAATAGAAAATCTGCCGTGTACCTTATACAACAAGATCTGTCAAGCCAATGTCATCCTGACGAAACGACTAACGGCAGGGCGACTTCACGATTTTGCCGTGCGCGTGAGGGACGCAAAGGGCGACTCAAATTCCATGCAGGCTACCATTTCCGTCACAAATGCAACCACCCAGCGTGACAAGATATTTCCACATATACCTGCCATCATCATGGTCCCTGAGGTGAATTACTTCCCCGTTGCCTATTTCATTCTAAATTTGATGATACCGTTCTTCCTCAGGATGCGAAACCAGGAAAAGAGCTCGATTATATTCTTGTCAGGGCTAATCAGTGGAGCGGAAAACCTGTATATATTGAATTATGGGTAAGTAAGGAACATGACACAAATTGTTATTCTGCAAAGGAAGTGGTATTAATCAAGTTGTGGTTGAGATGAAATAGAATTCTCTAAATCAGTAATGAAATGTTGGAAGTATATCGGCAAATTATCCTGCAAATATGCGATATGCAGTTTTTACGAGAAATTTATTTTTAAATTGTTTTTCGCAAATATCCTAAAAAGCAGTAGACCAATTTCGATTTTTTTTTCTTACAACATATTCGACGCGATCCATCTAGGTTTTTGGAAGAGAGTTGGGTTGAAGGCCTTGAAGTGTCATTTCAGTTATTGATTAACCGAAATTACAATTCAATTGCCTTCAACAGGTGCGGTGTTGCTGGGGCAACAACTTTTCAAAAGAGGGAATCGTGCTGCGTATTTGTTCTTTTTCTCCCTATTAACCAACTTCATGTTCGATGGTCTTTTTATCTTTATTCTCTTCTTTTTATTTGTATTCCGCGGATGCGTCCTGATATTTTTTATATACACGAGAACGATCGCGCGCTTGAAGCGTCCAACAAGACAAATCGTAACACGACAAGCGAAAGCCGACCGAAGTCGAACACGTGCGGGCGGATCCGAATGTTCGACCAATGAAATTCGAGGAATGAGCGTTACGCTACAGCTTACGGCGTATGTTCTTTTTAGAATAGGATTCATTTATTTATCTCGCCCCAATTTTTATAATAAATATTCTATAAATAGATAAATGGATTATTTTGTTATGCCAATATGTTAGTAACATGAAATTCCAAGAAATTATGATAAAAAATTCGATAACCGAAGAAAAACACGGTAATTGACGTAATAGACGATTTTTCACAAAATGTTCCCTCTCATGAACTACTGAACAAATTAATCTCAAATTCTTTCGAGTTATGTAGCTAAATAGTATCGATCACTACTCAAAATTTGAGATCGTTAAATAAAGTTCTAACTACATTATAGCCACACGAGTAAGCTGATCACCTAAAAATAAAAAAATAGCAATATCTCGAGAATTTTCAATGTAACCGTACTCATATTTTAATTTGCTCAGATAGCCACCATTATAGCGAATATTTTGAAAAAAAATTGAATTCGGCTGAGTGGTTTTTGAGATGTTGAAGAAAAAAATTTCACATACAAAGTTGAATATCGCCGTAACTACTTGTTCGATTTCGTAAAACAAAATGAAAATGAAATTCAATTCTCCATAGCGGGGTGATTGAACTTCTATACAGTAAGATAGGTATCATCGTGACAAACAGTTTGAAAAAAAAAATGAAATTGGTCAAGCCGTTCCTGAGATATTTGCGAAAAACGATTTTTGAGTAATCGCTATATCTCAGGAACTACTCAACGGATCAGGCTGAAATTTAGCACGGATTTGTATCTCATTGGTGCGAACTATGAGCCAAAATTTCAACTTTTTTGTAATTACGGTTTTGGAGTTATTGACACATTTCTGGACAACGCACACACATACTTGCAAACATCGTCTAAAAATATCATACCTCGATGTTTCAGACCACTCTGAGTCATATCCAAGCAAAATCAGAGAATCGAAAAAAATTGCGTTTTCAAAGTTTCCATTCGGAAGCAAGAAAAGAACAAATTGTCTTGAATTTTCGAGAAATCCAGCAAATTCTCGGAAATTCAAACCATTTTTATATTCTTATTTTAGAAAATGTGAGGATTTGCTCGGACATCTTAGAAAACTGACGAATGGTCTTCAATTTTTCGGATGTTTTCTGAAGTTTTTCATAAGTTATAGAAATTTCCAGAATTCAATAAGTGATTTTTTTCAAACGAACATTTATAATTTTTTAGAATTTTCTACTTTCCACCACCTTAGAGGTTAATTTTGGAAAAAAGAGATGTATTCATAACTTTGAATTAGAGAATCTGAATGCGTATAGCCCCGTCTTCAACTGCCTTCAACGGCTTTCAATTTCCTATAGAAAAAATTTGCACTTTCGTCAACCCTTAGAGAATGCTATATCAAAAATTGTCCGTCCATGGGTGCTCACATTACGAAAAGAATCTGCCTTCGAAGCTCCATATTTGTAAAAGTAGTCGATTGGCTTATTTATAAGTCAGCCGCAAAAAGGCTTCTTCCTTTATGTAAAAGGTTTTATGGGCTACAGAGAAAATACTACGACATTTTTATAATCTGCTGGGTTGAGGAAGGTTTGGAGAAATTTGAAAACGAAACTGTAGGAAACTTTTATACTCATCCTTTCTGTTATGTACCTCGAAATATGAATAATTTGTCAACTCCACAGTTGGGGAAGAATGAAACATTAAGCATCATTTGTTATTTAAAAGTGTGTTTTCTGAATGTTTTATTAACTCAAACTTTCCAGCGTTTCTTCCTTTGGCTTTGGGCATATTACTCATTGGAAGAATCTACTTTGAAAATTTTGTGTTCATATAATAAGGAATTAATCTCAGTTTTCCTTTGATTTAGCAACCAAAAGAATTATTCACGATAAGACAGCGGCAAACTCCAACTCAAACGCGAGGAGTCATCACCCTTATCGGCGAATTGGACTTTGAGACGCAATCGATGTACACACTGACCCTCTACGCGACGGTATGCCTGAAAACATAATTTTAAATTGCAGGATGAAAATTGAATTTACTACTTCATGCCACAGGATCCTTACACAGAGCCAAAGAAAGACACCAGAAACATCGCTGGTTTACATCTTGTCGTGATAGTACAGGACGTTCAAGACGTTCCCCCCATTTTCACACACGCTCCACCCCTAACCAAGCTTAACAATACCATTCAACCTGTAAGTAGCACAAGCATCATTAGTCCATATTTGTAGAATAACAATAGTTGTTAAAAATATATTGCCGTAGGGTGACCTAATCCTGAGGGTTCACGCAGAGGATGGTGATAAAGGGGTCCCAAGAGAAGTGACATATGGACTGGTCTCTGAGGGGAACCCATTCACACCTTTTTTCAATATCTCAGAGTCTACTGGTTCGTAAGAGTGACGTCATAAAATTTGAAATTCTATCGCAACTGCATATATAGAATAATCAGTATTCAAGACATCAATAGAAACATACAGAGAAAAATAATGACGTAATGCAATCGAAATAAAAGCAGTGAAAAATTGCTTCTGTCTTCATATGGCATAGTTATTTTTTCTAATAAAAAATAAATTAGCAGTATGTTTCTGAATAGTTATTTGGCACATCATTTTCTTCTATCGTATATAATTCATTAATTCAACGAGATTTCTTCTTCAACTAGTTGTATTTAGATATGTGGATTAACCATAATTTTATGGTTCGGTTAAGTAAGACGTATATGACCGGTTTCTGACCGTTTTTTAACTCTAATAGAAATTTGTATGCAAAATGACTATCACAGTTTAGCTGCGTCAGATACGAGCCAAAATAACAAAAAATCGTCTATATATTTATTTGAGTCATTCTTTACGAATTCAATCGGATAACTTTTTAATAGAACTAGCGAACTAGCGCAACTAGCGAACTGTGTTTGAAAAACATAACATAATAGTCATAAAACGGAAATAAAATAGGACTAGTCCCATATTTTCATGATTTGCCAGGATTCATACTGTAACATCCAATTTTATAAATCAAGTCACCCTCAAGATGAGTTATTGCAAACATCTTCCATTTCCTGTATAACAATATTAGGGACTATAAACATCGTCATCTAGCAACCGTGGTAACAGTATTCATATTGCACTCATTAAAATTTATTTCGAATTTTAAAAAATGTTTCTCAATATTGGTTATTTATCTGGAAATGAGAGAAACTAAATTATACCCTACAAGTTCTCCGTTATGGCAAGAATTATTTCCGCTCCCTCATATGTAATTTTGCGAATCAATATTTAGAATCACTTTGTCTGCTCGATATTTCTTCTCTTATTATTGGCGGAGAAATTGAAGTTGACACTCAGATTAGTTTTAGTAAGATATCTGAGAATCTAAATGATGAATTTATATTTCCAGGATTCATCTGGTTTTCCCTTTGATCGCCCTCAAAGGTTCTGCTGAAAATACATCTATGTCCCTTGGAATCGCCAAGGTTCCTAGATGATATTTACAGCCCTTAATCTGGTAACATTTGCTGTCCCTCGAAAAGATATAAAAATTCTCAAGAAATTCAAAATACTAATTCTTCTCCAAATATTTGAATTCATTAAATTAAATATTTGAATTTACTAAACTATTCATTCTTATAATTCTCCTTGAGTGATGCCCATATCATTACGATCTAAATGACCTTCACCTATTCTCAGAACCATCGGATATCCATGTTTTTTTTTGTGTAATCTTGAAGATCAGCAATCAGTAGAGCTCGCATTGATTCATGAAAAAGTGAATTGTGTGAGAGCGGTAAACGGTCATTATACCATTGAAAAAAAAAGTGCAGTGTTCAAGTTATCGATCGAATGGTCAAGTCCCCGAGGAACTAGCGCTAGCCGCGATCTTTATCTCATGTTTCTAAGACGCATGCAATATCCCGACTGCAACCCCCTTCAAGAATAATATGGAAACTAAGTGAATTTTAGGTAACATATACGGGATTATTTATGTTGATGAAGCGGTGAATCAAATTATTGCCATTACCGAAGAATAATGAATTGTTGGTTATACGTTTGTTGCGGAATTTTCCCCTGCAAATGTAAGGTATAATATATACTTTTCCGACAGGTGAAATTATTCTTGCGAGACCGTTAGAGGAGTTAACGCAGATAACTCATGTTGGGGCGCCAGTTGTGCTGAGTGTAGTTGCTGAGGAAATTAGACGATCGCCGAATGAACCACCGGCGCAAGCTACGGTTGTGGAAGTTGGATTACTGCTTGGAGAACCTGCGAATAGTCCGCCATATTTTGAAAATGACAAGTGGGTATTATTAGCTAACAACAAGTAATTGCAAATAGTCGTTTACCTCCTTTTGAACTAGCAGTAGTTGAGTGAATTTTCTCGCTTGAACATAATTATTTTACTGACCGGGACTAAGATCCATTTAATTTAAATTCAGTTACGTTGCCTGGATGGACGAAAATCCCGAACCTGGCTCTCTAGTTATCTTCAACGAGCCATACTCAACGCGAGTTAAAGACGAAGACATTGGAAAAGCTGGTGTTTTCGCCCTCAAGCTGGAAAATAACAACGGTACATTTGAAATTAGTCCAACCGTGGCGGAGAAATCTGCCAGTTTTATTCTCAGCGTGCGAGATAATACATTAATCGATTATGAAGTTCACAAGAGTCTTCGGTTCAAGGTGAAATCATCAAAGTTCTTCATAAGTCGTTTAGGAAGTGATAAAAGCAAGGAAATCCCAATGCGAATGTTAAGAGACCGTCTTTTTCCAATACATGCAATTCTAATTGTTAATCTGGCATTGCTTTATCTCTGTTTATCACTTCATCGCTACACTGAAATAAAAGATGACCTAATATCACAAAACTAATCTTTTCAAACAAATACATCATCTCCTGAAAACGAATGGTTCGGGACCAGAATTCCGTTGGATGAAACGGACCATATGCGAATTCTGTAAAGTGTTTGTCACTCGAGCACTACTTGGTGCGATATTAAGAGATCCCGGGTCCGATTCCCGGCTGGGGATTTTTCCTCACAATAATTCTAATTTTCTTTGATTGTTTTAAAACAATTCCTTTAGAACCTTTCAAAAATTAAAGATAAAGTGAGAGATTCTTGGCCCAAGAAATTGTTTTTTTTTTTTCATGTCTAGAGGTGAGACAATGGCTTAAAACACTAAAGTCGTCAATCCGGTAAATCATAAAAGATGAGGTTTTGTATTATAATAAATGCATGGTGAAGTCATGCACAATAAGATCTCTAGACATTCCTAAAATATGACCATTTGACCATCCGTTGCTTTCAATTGCAATGACTTCAAACGAAATAAATGACCTCATCTCCTTATTTCAAACCTTTCTTATCGTTTCGAGAATATTGTTTTTTCCAGAAAGAAATTAATTTTTGTGATACTTGCCTGAAAAGTGCACTTTTAGAAACGGTTCAATGCGAGCGTACGGAAAGTAAATTCTCGTGCGTAGAGCTTGGCTTAAAGGAGAGTCTACAATAAACGCACATCATTCGTTTGCGTCACGCTGCAAAGGTAATTAATATATCTATATTTATTGCAACGTGACGTAAACGGAGGACGTACGTAGACTGTAGTACCGTGTCAAACATTGAACTCGGCAGGTAGCACAAAAAATAGGATTTGTCACACGTGTGTGCGAAAAAGTGGAATTTCACTCACTAGTAACACAATATATTATTTTCATTCAGTATCGTACTGCTTTATGCCGCACCGACTTCTTGTTTGCAACCTCTCGTTAATTGATAGAATATTTATGCTATTTTCATAGCTCTACGATTTACTTTTGTAATATTCGGTCGTTTTTCTCTCAGTCTAAATTGTTTGAATGGGTTTGTGACCTTACATTTTTTCAGATAGTTGCTCAAGAAGTAGGCCCTGCAACAAACCTCTCTGCCTCAGTGCCAGTTATGATATTCCTTCGTGACCTGAATGATAATCCCCCGACGTTTCAGGAGGCAACGTATAAAGTGACATTATCAGAAAATGTCACTGCAGGAACACGCGTTGTGCAGGTTCACGCAACGGACAAGGATACTGGGTCGTTCGGGAGGATCCAGTACACTCGAATTATAGGCCCTGGGAGTGAAGCATTTGTCATAAATCCTGATACGGGTGTTATTTCTGTGGCGACGAGTGCCAATCGAATTCTTGATCGAGAAAGTACACTACAGCTTCAGTTGACTGTGGAAGCTCGTGATGAGGATGGAAAGGGTCTCAGGGGCTCTGTTCCTCTCGCCATCAATCTGCTCGATGTCAATGATAATGCACCAATTTTTGAAAAGGATAGCTACGATTTTTTTGTCAATGGGGACTTGACTAACTTCACTGTTCCTGCAATTATAAAAGTACAATTTTAAATTATGAGTTTACTTTGTTTAAATATTAGTATTACTTTCAGTTTAAAGTATTACTTTCAGTTTAAATTATCAGTTTACTTTATTAGGGTCTTCAGTAATTTTCTTTTTGAATGAATGTCACAGCAATCGATAAAATCAATCTCCATGGGATTATTGACCACCGTGATCGCGGAAGTTGTCTGCATGTCTCACACAATATGGCTATCGAAAACTGTCAAATTGCCCAAAATAAAAACTTATTCTCCTCACAATTCCTGACATCGGGGAGTACCCGATTCGATTTCACACGGGGCCGACAAGAAAAACAAATTTTTGGACGCAAGTTTCATCTCATTTATTCCATTAATTAGTCCGTGGAAATGGCTCAAAGTTTTACCCGCTTTTGTATATCTATATGTATAGGGTGACGTCAGCACCCTGTTTGCAAATTGTGATTAAATATAGAATAGAAAATCGGTAATTCAATGGCATCAGAATTGTGAAATTACGATAACAGAGTTTTGAATAGTGAGCGTTAGAGTTTTTCAATGATTTACCCAATAACATCATGGTAGACTCCCGCCATGCCGCCATGATGGAAAATGGCGGTGGTACGACAATATGGCGATATTTACTACAATGATTTTAGCGACATTATGCGGAATAGTTGGAGCATCATTATGAGCAATAGTTTGAGCAATGTTCATTGCAGCGATGAATCAACAATTTTATCAACATGGAGAGCGATATTAACCATCATATCAAATCCCATTGACAACTGCGCCATCGTTCCCAATCATGGCGGTAGTTAATCGCAATGTAATTGGCTGGAGTATTTAAAAATTCCAATGTTCACCATTTGAAAGTCTATTATCGGAGTTTAGTCATTTTTGTACCATTGAATTTCCAATTTTCTATTCTATATCTGTCTGAAATTTGCAAACAAGGTACTGACGTCATCCTGTATATATTCGTGGTGCCTTAACATAATTAGGTAACGGGAAATATTTTAATGATTGCAAGGAGATTGTCCCGTTAACAAACTTGTATTTTCCCCAACTTATAGATAATGGTATAGCTTACACTTGCTTGTCAAAAGTTTTCAGTCAACGCGATTCCCAAACTAATTCTAGGCTTAAATTTTGCTAAGAATAAATGAGAGAGGATCAGATATCGAATAAAATTCGGAATTACAATCACTGTTGTTTTATCGTTAGTATGGGTGCGATTATCGCTTGTGATGTGGCTTGGCGCAGTGGGCACGTTCGTTGCCTCACATGCGTAAGGTTCCGAGTTCAAATTCCGGCCGGGTAAAATGGTGCGATCTAGCTGTTTAAAGTCTTGAAAATAACGATAAAAAAAATCTATCGCTCTCGGTGCATCTTCCAGTATATTATAAAATAGTTCCAAGTCGTACACTCAGATCAGGATCTGTTCTATAGTATAGGTGCACTTAGTCCGACATCAACTTTAAACACTTCTTATTGTTTTATTTAAATTAATCAGTCTACAGGCTACGAAGGTGTGCGTATTGCCTCGTAAAATTTCGCTAATTGCGAACCATACGTTTTACCGACCGGTTATGCCCAAGATTAAGGGGAACGGAGTTGACGTAGGGGGTACGCAATTTATTCTCGCAGGAGTCTGTATAATTTCCTTCCATTGAAGATGCGATGGTGACTGTCTTAAAATTCTCATAACCCTTTCGTTAAGCACTCTCGGAAGGTGCTTAGATCAGCACCCCGTGGACGTGTGCAAATCGGCGTGGCAAGTTTCTGTGAGTGGAGAACATTCCGCTAATGTTCGTCTTGCGACATCCGCTTGACGTTTTTTTTTTGGTCAGCGATTTATGCTCTATTTTTCGGAATAAATTCTTAAAATTTGGTATATAGCAGTATCCCCCATGCAGGTGGATAGGGATTGATAACATTAAAAACATTGGGGAAAAGTGAGACTATTGAAAAAAATTTATAAACAAATAAACAAACAAATGAAAATAGAATATTCATTAGTTTAACAGGTATGATTATAGGCATACTATGTCTTGATGTGAAAAATAATAAATTATTCCGTAGCGTAAATGCCATCATGGGAACATTGAACAGTACGAAAGAAGGACACTGGAGAAGAATAATCTTGGAAATAACAAATAACTTACCATTCAAACAAATGAAAATGACGATAAAAATAATAACGGAAATCGGTGTAGAAAAAAATATGGGAAATTTTCCACGGAGGATTTTCAGGAGCATTTATCATAGAACCATTGCGACAGATCCATTCGGACGCTTATCACCAATTAAATTGGTAGAGAGAAAGAATCTAAAAGACTAATAACGAGTAAAATAACGGTCTGTCGCTTGTCGAATGGGCTCGCAACCCTGCTTGTTTTGGAACAAGCTTGTGGTTGTGGAAAACTAGACGTGTTTGAAAGATCTGTTGAACAGCTTTGAAATTAGCGTGATTATATCTATAAGTTTATATCAGTTTTATTTTCGAGGAAGAATTCATCCACATTTTATTGAACCATGCATTTTACAGACAATTAACGTTAATGACTATGTTCTTAGAACGGTGGGTTGCCGAACGGAGCATATGGGTTTAATTCTCATCGTAGTTGGAAATAGTATATTACGATACCAGTGAAAACAATCAGGGGTTGACGAGCATATGACAGTGCACCGTATAACAGTGACAATTTCCTCAATTCTGATTTTGACCAATCAGAGTGCAGTATTCGGAGTCACGTGACGCGTTTCACACTGGTATCGAAATATATTATTTTTTATTTTGGATTTCACGTGGAATTGCAAATTAGAAAGCTGAAGAAAAAATCTAACGAACATTAACAAAAAAAAAAGTCCAAATTGGAAGAAACCTGTAGTCCATGGAGCCTTTTTTAATTAAAAACTTGAACGTCACCTGTTTCCAAAATTTTGGATGTCCAATCAAATATCAAAAGTCAATCAATAGGTTTTGGACGGCCAAAAACATGGAATAGAATCAATCAATAGGTCCATTTGGCCATAACAAACTTTCACGTTTCAGAGCAGTCTCTCTGAAACTATGTGATTTTTTAAAATGATCCACCTGATGTACATCAAATATGATTATTTTACTACTTACTCAACTGATGAATATCAAATTTTTCAAATCAACAGGCAACAGATGCTGATGCCGAACCTCCCAACAACGAAGTTCGATATGAATTGATTCACGGAAATTACGAAAATTATTTTTTTCTCGATGAAGTGACTGGCGAAATTTTTCTGAGGAAGCAAATGACGAAAGCCAGAACTATTCGCCATAATCCCTATCAAGCTCTGGCATCAGAATTCAGGAAAACTATTTTTCCAAGTAATAAGGGTCTTGCAAAATCAAACAGCTCAAATATCCTCCCAACAGCGTTCACTATTAATCATAAAAATCAATCAAATGCGGAAAATGGGACGGAAAAATTCATACGTCGGAAACGTCAAGACACAGACAGAAATGTGCTCTTCATTCTCACAGCCAGGGCTTACGATTTAGGTAAATGTGGACGTGCGTATGGAAGGGCCCACTTTGATGATACTACTTTCTGAGCTATGCTCGCTATTATTACCACAATTTCCATTGAAACCAATGTTAAATTATTCTTTTGGTTTCCTCTAGTGATATCATTTTTCATACCAACAGGATCATTTTTGGCTTGAAATGAGCGGAATGTTATCAGATTACTGAAATATATATAACTCTATGTCGACAAAGTGAGCCTTTTCCATGCAGACGGCCACAAATCATGTAAAATTACTAAACTTTTAGGAATTAGCCGAAATTTTTTTAATTTTCATTTTTTTTTAATTCTTTCGTTTTCAACAGACAACATATTGCAACTCAATTTAACGACTGAACTAATACATTAATGATTAACATCATACAAAGATTCAATTTGTTTTTATATGAGCAATTACAAGGGATCAATAATTTAGTATTAGTAGTTGTTTTTTGTAAAGGGTTTTCCATGCTTTAATATTTTGGTTGAATCGTTGACGTTTTGAGAAATCTAGGGAATACAGTCTTTTCAACTACGAGATTTCAATTAAGGACAATAATTAATAATAATTTCATCCGTTTAGCGTGTATTTAAATCTGAACACTTGAAATCCGTAGTTGAATGTCGTTAGTTAAAATGTCGCCTGATTGAAAAGACATGGATTCTATTATGTTTTTCATTAGGAGTTCCACACTTGTCGGGTACAACCCAAGTAAATATTCTACAAAGTCCCTCAACCATTGCACGAATTGTGATGTTCGTGGTAGCCGAAGAGAATCCAGATCCTGTTAAGACCGCTCAAACTTTGGCCACTATTACTGGTGGTCATATTACGGTGAAAGAAATTCGACCATATGTGCCGGGCAGCACCCTTAATGGACATGAAACGACTTTGCCAAGTACTGATGGTGTGAAGCGGTGAATATATTCATACAAAAAGTTTGATCCACATCTCTCAGATTCGATTTGCGGGATAATTATTAGGTCATCCCTCTTCTGGTGTCACCTTTTTCTTTTCAGCTGGCATGGTATTGCACCATGTGACGAAAGAAATTGTAACATGATAGTATTGCTCATTCAGTATAGCAGTGTCATATACTTTTCATTTTAATTACGTTGCAGTATTTACGATGGAGGAATTGAAAAAATCTGGGAGTGTAATGGAATAACGAATATTCCTGAAATTTTGTGCCCTATTAGATTACTCTGGAGGAGTTGCGCACGGGTTATTAGTAAAATGTGTTGGCCGCAACGTATCAAATAAACGAACAATACAACGCTGGCTCAATGCCTATAAACGAGGTCGAACGTCCGCTGAAGATGAGGTGCGGGTCCCTCGACCAATGTCATCAAATAGATTAGAAAGGAGAGATAGAATCGCAGAAGCTCTCCGTCAGTCAGCTAGAGTGAGGGTCAACGATCTTTCCACCCAACTTGGTATTACTCATTCGACTGTGCATAAAGTACTCACCGATGGATATAAAAGGGATCGATACAACTATGATATCTGAACGTTATAAGGCGTTTTTGGATGGCAATATTCCCAAATGGGCACAAGAACATCACATAACAAGCCCCCTTGCTTTACACGATATTGCCAGACCACATAAAGCACGCATCGTTCGGCAGTTAATTGACAATGAAGATTGGGTAGAACTTTTCCACCCACCATATTCTCCCGATATGAATCCGTGTGATTTCAATTGTTTCGGTCAAGTGAAAAGGGAATTGTCAGGCACTCGTTACAACAGCAAAGAGCAGTTAGATATTGAGCTGCATAGGATTAGTTCCATGTTGAATGAAAATGGGACTCTACATGGTGTTCGAGAATTGCCAGCAATCTGGGAGCGCGTTGTCAGTAATGGACGAGATTACTGAATAATATTATGAAAGTATCATTGTATGTCGGCTATCGCTTGTTAAGATACAGAAAATAAAAAAAGTGACGCCAAAAGTGGGATCACCTAATACAATAACTTCCGCCCTACGGATCCGAAAGTTAATAATGTTAGAAATAGAAATAAATAAATCTAATAAGGTTCTTTCTCTTTTGATATTTTGTCCTCCAATTTTTAGTAAACACAAATTATTTTTTCACTTTGAATGAAAAATCGCTTCTGCGCAAAAAATAAAATGCCAAAAATCGATTTTTTTATCGAACGCGGACAGTAATTAAAGGGTTATAAGAAAGAAAAAAATCCTGTAATATGAAACAAGCACTACCATATATCTAAGAACTATCAAATATTTTTATAGCAATAAATATTCTCCTTTTCAATTATTTCTATTCTGAATATACTTCATAGTAAAGTTAGTATTTTCTCATTTGCGTATATTAGAATCGAGATGAATTAAAATTGTACCTAATAATTAAAAATTTTCTGAGTTTAGAAGTATCGTGGTAGCTCGTGTAGAACCAGCAGGAGGTACCTCGCTTGTCGACATTGATAAAATTAGAGCCGCCCTCGCAGCGAATGGAGTTGGTGTTATTGGTGGAGACATGCAGTTTCCAAATGCAAATCCTAGAGACGGTGGTACAACGATTAATATAACAAATACGATTCCATCAGTATACAGTGAGGAAGTCGTAAGTAAACTTAAAGATCTCAGCTTGACGATTGTGACCACGTAAAATGAAAGATAAATATTAGGCATTCAATTTAGACAGTCTACAAAGCCGAGAATAAACTGCTCTTCTGGCTCCTTATCCTCCTGGGTCTGCTTATACTAGTGGCTATTTTCGCCCTCATATTTTGCTGCGTCTGTCCTGGGTGTCCATTTTACATGGCACCAAGGAAAAGAAGGATACATTCATCTGAAACATTAGTGGCCCGGTCAGATGGGAGACCGAAGAGGCATATTCATCGGAAGTATCCAATGATGATGCAAGGTAATTAATTGATCAACTGATGAGTTTACATGAACTATGCTCATTCTATTCAGAGGTAATATTGTATGAAGAGATGAGTTGAGATATAAACGTGCATATTACTTGAATCGGAGTATATTGTAAATAAACAAAAGCAAAGTATCTGTTAATAAATTTCATTTTGGTATAACACTGTATTTAAAAACACTTTCACAATAACGATCAAGTACAGGTCGTCAGTAGGCTCATCTTCTTGTACGACTCTTCTGAGGAATATTTAATTTCATTCATTATTATTCCGTTCTTCTGTGAAAATATTGCTATAATTAAATTTTGCTTTCATTTACGCCAATAATGTCCTATAAATTTGATTAGATTCCAACTGGTCTGAGAAGAAACAGGCCTGGAGTGCAGATCCAATGAGGCTGCACTGGCAATTCAACCGTCGAAACACGAAGCAATATGGATTAGCCTCTTTACCAGGCGACGTGGTGCGCATCCCTGATTCCAACTATCGTTGTCCTCGCAAAGCTATGTCTCTTAGAGGAGATCCCCAGATCCCGATTCCTATGAACGATCCATTATACCCTCTAAGACGACAAGAGGAGCATCGGATCCATATGGAGAACATCGTAAGAGCCAGAGAATATGAAGCCGCAGATATTGACTCCTTACGCAAGCACGAGTTTGAAAGAGAATCAGATTTAGGACGGCAACCACATGGGCCAATACTAACGAGACGTGAACATCACTTTTATCGTGAAGGAAATGCAGAAGTGATGAAACTTGTAACTAGAGATGGAATAGAAGAAACTCTAACAACGATGCACAGACCTCCAGAAATCATAATCGACCAAGCCAGCGGTCACAAATTTGATGGTAAAGACATTCTCCTTCGCAGATTCATAGAAGACCAGAAATTACGAGTAGCTGGTAAAGAATATCAAGATTGCCTTCAAGATGATTTTGAGCGACAAAGTATGGAGTCTCATCAGAGACAACATGAACTGTCAATGCAACAACAACAACAACACCAGCAACGGGAAATATTAGTGATTCCTGAGATACTAGAAGTAGATCATCGTCAACATCTCGAACAACTCGGACCAGACGTTCAAAGATTGATAATTGATCACGGAATATATGAAAAACCCGAGAGATCAGAAATACGCGAGCATCAAGATATTCTTGCAGGAGCAACGCTATTAATTCCTATGGAAAAGCCTCTTGAAAAATCAAAGGAAACAAGTTCAGTCAATCTTCAGACCTACACAATGCACGATCTCGAATTTGCGACGCGAAATGTCTTATTGACTCGACTCTTGCTAGAACGAGATGGCCGAGTAGGTGCAGGTGTTGTAGATCCTACAAGTTATCTGGAGACTCAGAGTCTTCCTGGGCAAGTAGCTGCGGGGACTCAAACAGACCAGACTGCTGCGACGCAGACTGAACATCAAACTAGAAGCAGGAGTGATAATGAATCTGAAGAAGAGTCTAGAATTCGTAAAAAAATGAAATTTCTGAAACGATATGGAGAGGAACCGACGCGCATCAGGACTCTATGGATGAAGTCACCAATTGAAGAAGAAGAACGTCAATATTCAGGACAACGTACGACTATCTCTCGCAGAAAAATGAGAGATATCAAAGATGGACGAACGATCTCTATCGAACCTGAAGTTCTACGCGAAATTTCGGATTCGTTGGATGAAAATCCAGAAATGCCCGCAAATTTCAGAAAAGCACCAGACAGTTCGAATTCACAATACGAGTCTCGAGAGGAGGAAGCGATTCCTAAAATAGAAGATTCTTCGTCGGTAGAAAGAAAGCAAGCAACTCATAAAAAAGGAAGGAGAGAAAAGAGAGGAGAGAAAGAGGAAAAGAGAAAGAAGACTACTAAATCGAGGAGCGATACAGCATCGGGACCTAGTTTTCGTATTCTAGAAAAGGAAATGAATTCACTGAGCAGAAAACTCTCCAAATTAACTGGACGGAAGATTTCTAGTGGGGAAGATTCAGGTGAACAGAAGAAAGTGTGTTGTACTCAACCAAAATGCGAAACATCTCAATTCAAAGATTATCATGAAGAATTAAAATCTAGAAAAATGGAATCTAAGTCGGAAAGGAAAGTTATCCAGGACGCTAGTCAATCTGTTACAAAACAACACCTGAACATTCCAGATCAATTGGTTAGTCATAAAGCCAAACAAAAATCGAAATTACGGAAAGTATTACCTATTAGTACAGCGAGTTCAGAATGGGAAGAATCAACTGAAAAATCTGTTAAGAAATCGAAGCCTCAAGCAGAAGCGCGAGAACGTCAAAAACTTGAACTTCCGGTAGGTAAAGCAGTGCATGCAAAATTAAGAAGACAGGGGAAAACAGAGATGAAAGTAGCCAAGAAGTCTATGACAGAAAAATTGACTAAATCTGAAGCAGAATCCGTCATTACAAAATTGAGTAGCAGTGAACATGACTACACAATAACCTCTGATAAACCAGCTAATATCAGAAGAGGTGAAGAAGTTCCTAAAACGTCCGTTGACGCGATCACAGAAAAGAACAAATTCTTGATATCTTCAAGTAGTATTGTGCATGAAATGGAGAAGCCCAAGATATTAAAGGAAATGTTACCATCTGCAACTGAAGAATATTCCGATTACGGGGACGCTTCGGCATCTAGTATGCGTGAAGCCATAATTATTAAGTCACCAAAGAGGAGTAAGAGTTCCAGTCGTACAACAGATGTAGGAACAATGGGATTAGGATACTCAGAGAGACGAAGTGTAGGAAGTAGTCCTGATTCGGAATCGATTACATCAACACGGAGGAAACAAAGTAATGCAGGAATTCAATTACTACTTGCAAAGCCCGACAGCACTGCAGCGATCTCTACTGAAATGAATGAAACCCAATTGGAAAAACAGCGCGAGGAAATCACTTTACCTGTGACCGAGAGTCCTACCAGGTCGGATAGGGTTATGAAGAAAAAATCAAACAGAAAACGCGTGAAAATAGCAGAAGAAAGGTATGAGGAGGATGGTACACCTTTTGAAAAATTGAATATTGAAACTGAAAGAGCAGAGAAAATACAAATAGATAGAAAGAGCAGAAACCTGAGAGAACGTACACCTGATGATGATATGGCTTTTCCAGATCAGTCGATTATATCTGCAATGAAGTATTATGGTGGAGGTGAAAGTTGTGTAAAAAAAAGCTCTGACACGACGATATCCTCCCCATCCGAAACGAGCCCTGGAAAAGAAAAACCATCCGTTACAAAATCACCCAGAGCACGATCACCTATAATCCCAAGTGTTCAAAGCATAAGAACCACAATGGATGGAATTATCGAACAAGCAAAAACCTTTGTTTCAGGTACAATGAAAGCAGTGAAAACATCTGCAGACGATGCAAAAGATAACATTACTGGCATTTTCGAACAAAAAATGTCAGACGAAGAGACTCAGGTCTTCAAGAAGGAAGAGACAATGAGAAATGCAGAAGAGGATATGAAAACTAGTCATTCCGATGCACTAGAAAGAATACAAATTGCTGTCGAAAATGTTGAAAACACTTTAAGCGTAAAACTTGAAGAGAAACTATCAAAATTAAAGAGTGAAATTTCTGAGGAGCAAGTAACGAAAAATATGTTAGAGAAAACAGAACACACTAGTTCAGACATTTCAGAAATTGTACAAGCAATTACTATGGCTACAGCAACCCCTTGTAGAACAATGCTTGATCAAAAAATGTCAAAATTGAAAGAGGCGGACGAGTTGAAAGAGGAGATTGCTCAAGAGGAAACAACAGGAGATATGGAAATCCCAACTGAAAGTGTCAATTCTGATGTTATGAAAACACTCAAATCTGGTAGTGAGGATTTAACAAATACTTTTCACACAAAAATCGAAAGAATTGTGAACGTGAAGAGTGGAATGCGTAATTTCATTGATTCTGGGATACAGAAACTGACAGGGGAAAGCGGTGAACTGACAGACACTGGATATTCACAATCCGCACAGTCCCCGAATGCAGAAATAGAAAAATATCTTTCAACAATACAAACTGAAACGAGCCAGAGCCAGTACAAACTTGGTATCGATCAACCTGAGAAGCCACCATCTATAGCTAAGCCTAGTTCAAACGGTCAATCCCCTGTCTCGACGGAGGGTTCACCTAATAATCCTATAGGAATTGATTATCCAACTCCAAAACAAAGTCAGGCACTTCAACAAAGAATAGAATCAACACCATCTTTGGATATAACAGTAACTTCCTATCCATTCGATTTGAGTGGAATCCCAATCCATGACAATACTCACATACCAACAAAAATTGTGGACGAATTGAAACCCACTGAAGATGGTTTAGAACAGTTTGAAAGTGCAAATTTAGAGACAACCTCGATAAAATCAGGGGGAAGTCAGTCATCCAAAAATATGATTATAGTGAGGGAAACATCCTTTCTCAACTCTCCTAAACGAGAATCCCCTAAAAAAGATGATTCGATCGCGACATCAGGGAAGAGTGAAAAAGAAGCCAAAGGAGATACGTTCATTGTCATGTCAGAGAAGATTCAATTGAGAAGACCAAAATCTTCGGAAATGCAAATTCCAGATTCTGATATTAAAGCACCAACCCCTGAAATTTCTACTGAGCCTTCAAATTTGAAAACAAAGGGCAGAGAATGTGAGCGTCGAGTCTCTGTGTCAAAGGATACATTCATTTTCACAACAGAAGAAAAACTTCAAAGGGGTACACCAGCGCCCGAACAATCGGGGGTAAAAATTCCGGATTTAGATATCGAGGTACTGACTGCCGAGATCGCTGGTATACCTTTGGATTTAAAATTAGAAGGGCAACAACGTAAGACTGAAGTCTCTGAGTCACAAGATACACCCATTTTCACAACAGAAAACATTCAAACAAATACACCAACACCAGAATCATCAGCGTTACCAATTCCGGATTTAAACATCAAGGTACCCACCCCAGAAATTCCTACGGGACCCCCAAATTTGGAGTTGGAAAGAAAAGTAGGTGAAACCGCAGTTCCTGTATCAAAAGAGCTCCCAAATTTATCAGAATCATCATTAGAAAGGTTTGAAGAAGATAGTAACATATCTAGTCGGTGCTCCACGCAAACAACATTTATCGCTCAACCATATGGAACTCCTCGGCACAAAAAGTTAGTTCAAATAGAACATATAATTAATGATGATTCTTTATTACTACCATCAACATCTTTCGATGTTTCCATGGATGACAACATCGTAATCGAAACCGTTTCTTTTGAATCTCAAGTAGGAACGAAAGAGAGTGATAGTGGAGAACTAGAAATGTTGAAGCCAGTAGAAGTTCCTCCTGATGATATTGTGGTAAATGAAATGGAGCATACTGGAGGGGCAGTAGAGGAAGAAAATAATGAAATTCAAATCCAAAAAAGAGAATTTGTTGTTACTCACAAACAGGAAGGGCCATCTTTGGAAATCGCGGATAAATCAACCACATCTAGCGATCAGAATAAAAGGAAGGAAGAAATTAAGCCAAATCAGGTAGAATTAATTTCTAAAACTCTTCAAGAAATATTACCTGATGATGATGGTTCAACTTCTGACCTTCTTCCAGATATTTCCCAAGGCACAACTAGCAGAGAAGTAAAAACATCAAATACGCAAAAGACTTTTGGTATAATCCATAAAATGGTCAAGGCTGTCCCTACTGGATATTTGAAAAAAAACGACGAAAACTCAAGAAAAGTATCACGGAAAGAGAGACCGACTAGAAGGGAAAGTCTTCAGAAAGAATGTAAAGATTCGAAAATTTCTACGATAAAAGAAAAACAGATTCAAAAAAAATTTCCTGAAGAACTTGCGACATCAAAGCCGAAGAAAACGAGACGTCAAGAACATAAAAAAGTACTACCATTAGAGACCAAGTCCCGGATTACAAGTGATCGCTTAAAAATGTCTAGAAAACCAGAGCGAGATGAAGAAATACAACCTGAAAAATTCAAAACAGAAAAACGAGGAAAATCGATACCAATAATAAAGAACAAAGAAACCATAACTTCAAGAGAAATTCCCAGTCCTCTGAAGAAAGTAAAAAAAAATCGATATACACGTGCAAAATTAGAAATCATGAAAAAATCATCATCTTGTATTGAAGTAGAAAAAGACGATCGGGTTAACACAATGCAGATGTTGTCTGACTCATCAAGAGATTTGCCAACAGAATGTGATAAAATAATCCCTATTTTTCAAGTAGAAAATGTTACAATGGTAATGACAGGGGAAACTGCTGTTGAGTCGGTACCAACCCCCAGCACTGTAGAGACGACAGCTTCAAGCAAGAATATCGAACACCGGGAAGAATCAACGGAAAAGAAGGAAATTTCCGTATCAAAGACTTCAGATGCCACTTCAAATATCCTAAGGCAATTAATGAATTCATCGAAGCAAACAACTGGAGCAAAAAAAGATGAAAAATCCCAACAAGATAAAAGAAATATTTCATCAAAGTCTGGAGAATCTCACCCTACTGCTTCCAAATTCATCACTGATCCGAAATCACCTGATCTTTTACATGGCAAACACTTGAAAGAAGACACCCCAGAAGCTCAGTCTCGTTACATGGTCTGGTATAAAGAAATGCAGGAGCGAAGAGACGGCGAAGATCAGGAAGAACCTCCAAAATGGCTGCGCAAAAGTACTCGCCAGAGATGGTTAAAAATGAGTCCAGAAGATCGAAAACATTTCGACTTGAAAACCCCAGAAATGACCCCCCGTCCTCACCGGAAAGTTAAACCCTCTAAAAACGTAGAATCTGAACAGCTTAAGGCCATTGTTCGTCAAGGGAGGAGGCTAAGACGAGCAGAAGGCGGGAAAATCGAAGAACCTCAAATCGAAATTTTCGCCCCTGAGAAACCCCCACAACCCACACAACCCTCAGCCTCGACAAAGTACCATCACCTAATTCAACATTCAGAGTACAAATATGAAAAAATTCCCCCATTTTACCTTCATCCTCCACGTGTCCCTCATCCTTCACCTCAGATATCTCCACGACATTTTGAGGATCCAAGCGGAAGTTGTTCTAGGGAAACAAGACGTCGTGATGAGGACATGGAGTCGGGGATTGTTCTATCGATGTCCACCGGTGGTCGACTCCGGCATCAACAACTTCTGGAGAAAAAAAGCGTCTTCGATATCGCTTACAGTGAGGCAGCTCCTTCGCAGCTACGCGCAGATAGTACAACTCCTCCATCGTAAATTCTGAAATCTCCAGTGGACATTTATTGGTTCTGTAGTCTGTAACGAAAAGAATTATACATAAATTTAATATTAATGTCTTTACCAACAGGATTGTTCCATCACTGCCGACTTGGAAAAATTAGGAAAACGATTGTTTATATTGCCAATCTTGTAAATAAATTCAAAAACCAAAAAAAAGCTTCGATCTCTAATCTCTGTCCAGTAGCATTAATGGAGTACCTCTTCAAACTCCTACTACCCGATTACAAAAGTCTCCTCGTTCTCGACTTTACCAACTATCTTCAGAACACCCAGTTTATCTGACGATTCATGTACTCTCCACGCAAAATGCCGCGAATTGTGGGTCCAAGAGTCGGATAAAGTACCATATTGATACTATTACCTTTAGCATTCTGTCGGTATTATTCGCAGAAGAAAATATTGCTAACTTTCTATTCAAATGGATTCATCAAATCTTTAATCAAAAGTTTAAGTTAATATTCATACAATAATTTTCACTCATGATAAAATGAGCTAATATTATCAAGCGACTTCAACTAAATAAGATTTCCGCGTATCTGCAAAATATTACAAGACACTCCCCACTCACAGAATGAAACACGTAGGAATTAACATTTACGCAATCGCTGACGTATTTAACCCTATAACGTCTTGCAAACGAAGAAAAAAAATCGTGAGTGTGACGTTACCAATGCAACTAACCTACCGTAATCAAAGGCATAATGGTGCATCAAACATAACCGGGGCCTGGTAAATCTCTATGCTAGGAACTCATGATACTGAAAGAGATGGTTTTGCACTGCGATTCGCGGCGTTTTATCGCTACAAGTGGGAAGGTCATGTTGGAAGACTGGTGAAAAAAAGGAGAGGCGCCCGCGTCTCTTGGTATCGAGCTACTCTCCTGATCAAGGCGTACGTCAACGGCCGGCCGTTTGTTGGCAACAGATGCGATTTGCAGGAGATGATTGGAATAACAAGTTTAAGTGGTTACATAACCCGGGCCGTGTATTATTAATGAGTCATTAATAGTATCCGGAGCAGAGGATGACTTAATGAAGATATTGCGAAACAATTAATGTAATTATCGAGCGCTATGATCAAATTGTGGGTTTCAATTTGTGAACATAGAGTAATCTACTCTTCGCGAAACGCAAAATTCAATTGAAGTTTAACTAAACAAGTTTAATTGTTGTTCCTCAATGAACCCTCGCAGAATGACCTTATTAAACTTCCACGATTGGGAAAACTACTGTTTATTCCATATGATATCCTGATGCACCACTAACTGCACCACGAATTCACTTGCTCAATGTGTAGTCCCCCATACCCAAGTCGGCACACTTATTGCAATGATTTTAATTAAAATTATAGCCGATTATAACGAAAAGTAACGGTCCGGATAAACAATGTATGAATGTTAATTGTTGTTAATAAAGATCGGTGTATGTTGTTGCGGCAACGGCGAACAGAGCAGCGAAGAGGCAGTCCCCTATACCAGCACTACGCTCACCAGACAGATGCAAGCTCACCTGCAAAATTTGCAATCTCTCTCGTCCGGTGCGACTCACTTTTACCAATCAGCAAATCCCCCACTTTTATATTTATTATTTCTACGCAACGGTTGCAGTGGAATGATGGCTTCTTCTGATCCATTTGCTTCCTCCGTAAACCAATCATGAGAAACAACAAGCGATTAAACGGTTACATACCACCCTAAGTAATTATTGGTCAATATTTGCTGTTTTTCAAGTGTTGAGATCTATGATTTAAAACTGATGAATTCCACACTGTAATAATGAATTTTTCTGCTTTATTAATCAGAAATAAAAGAGAATAAATGAAAATGTTTCTTATCCGGGGTTACGGAGTGAATATTTACGCTCCTGCTCAGTCTTGGGCTTTTGAACTGATTGGAAGTTGTCATCTTCATAACTACACACATATGAGGGGGGATAACTCTCAATATAAAGGAAAAAAAATACAATACGATACCCCAGATGGGTTGGCTACTGGGGTAATAGCCATCAATCATTGCCGAATTTTGGCAACGCGTTGGACAACGCTGGCGGCAGGGAACTATCACCAAAGTAGAGTTCTCCAACGGGTCCATATGGAGACCGAGGTGCGATGTGGGGATAGGGGAGGGGAGTACGAGAAGAGCACTCTGGTTCGAAACGTCCAAAAATCACCGGGCCTGGCACACCCACTTGGATCTATTTCGGTGCTCCAATAGAGTTCAAACGACAGGGAAAATACTACGTTAGTATAATTCAATGACTCAGTTGATGATATTTGAGACAGGAGAATTGGCGGGATGTGAGTATTAGAGGGATTTCCCTACTGTAGAAATTCTGCTGTAGGAAAGTGGCGGTTTCATCGATTGCAAGTGAACTGCTGGGAATGGAATCGACGTAGATTTATAATTACTTAGTCGACATCAATCAAGTCGGTAGAGAATAAATTTTCTTGTCTTCCTCCCTTTACTAGTAATTTAAGTGGTAGCAAATGATAGTACAGCATCTTAGAGTATGGAAATTCAACCGTTCAGTAGAAAATTCCTTGATCAAACGGACCCGTTGATTATAAGATCGGGAAGACATATTATACTGGAGAGGTAAAAGTTTGTATTTCAAAGGTAGTTGATGTCACTAGAAAGACAGAGTCTCTTGAATAGTGAAGCCATAAATCAAAAGGTAAGACATCAAAGAACCGGACAACTCAATATAGTTATCTCAATTAAAACTGCAGATTTAGAGAGAAAAAAAAACGTTGAGCAAGTTGAATGAAACAGAATTTTAAGTGTCCTGTCTCGATGACCCTCACCGCAAGGCACGCAATCCCCGTGTAGACATGAATGCCAGTATGACGTAACGCACGTAATTGTCGGTTGTACATGCACAAGGGGAATATGCGAGATAGGAAGATGATCAGACCTGTACTGCAAGTACATACTGGGACTTGTTTTATTAAAATGGTCCTCCAAGGTAGTATGTGAACGTGAGATTTACTCCTGATACTCGCGGCTGTGAATAACTGTATATCGCGCATGGCTCACTGTTTTTATTCCTTTTCAGAAAAAAGAAAATGGAGTTTTGGGATATACCGAGGTTTGAAGATTTCGTTAGTGGGATTTTTTCAATTCTCGGGCATTTAAAAGTGTGGAGGAAAAATGATATTTCACGAGTTAGAAGAATGTTCGACTTATTATTGGTTGCATATCTGATGTTTTTCAATGTCCTATTGATTGTTTCTGAGTTTTTGGATGCAGGAAATTACTACGATTTATCCAGTTTCGCCGCTCATATTAATCCACTATTTTTGCATTGCTTGGGACTTTTCAAGTGGAGTTATTGCATACTTCATCATGGGGAGATTGTAGAACTTGTCAAGTGTATGGAGAATTGTCATAATTTATGTAAAAGGATCAATCTACAGGATATCGGTACTTATGATTTATAGAGATAAAAGTAAATGTACGCATTGAGAATAAATTTGTTTCTGGATGAATAAATTTAATAATAAAGTGGCACAACACGTCGAGTGAAATATAAATGGATTTACGATTCGGAAATCACTCACGAATTTGAAGATTTTGAGAAAGAATAACTATGAAAATACCTTCTTTCAGTTTACTTTGAAGCTCCCTTACCTGCTGAACTTGATAAGATAGTAAACTTGCTAGTGGAGTGATTGTTTTGAAAATGAACACTCTGAGAATTTGAATAAAAAAAATTACGAAAATTTTTGAAATCCGTAAAATTTTATCAAGTCCCCTCTAATAGTGCTCATTATTACGACAATTTACCAATAAACCAGATAACGTTTCCTCGACTGAACTGTTTTGTCAGTTGCTTCTCTCTCTATTGCCAGAAATTTGCAATGTAATAAAATCAACTGCTTTAGAAATTGATTCCAGAACAAATTTATATGATCAAATGATTGATATTATCACACTCTACTGAATACTATATAATATTCTCTTTTAGAATATCAAAAGTACAAATTGAAATTATTCAGATGTCAAAAAAATTCAACGCTGTTCATGAACGTATGGTTTTTCGTGGCAATAGGTGGAGTAATGCAATGGTGTACTAACCCAGTGATGTATGATTTCTATGAACAATATTATGGCGGAAAAATCATTCAGTCAAGTGCGATGAGGCGCTTGCCTTATCCAGGATTGTTCCCCTGGGAGATAAATAGCATTTCACGATACATCATGAGTTTTGCTTTCCAGTTATGGGGTGGAATTGGATCTACAGTTGGCGTCGCTGTATTTGATATATTGAATTTGACGTTCATGATGTATATTTGTGTTCAGTTGGATTATCTAAAGGACACGTTATTGGATAAAAATAAGGAACAAAATTATATATGCAATAAGATTCAGATTTATGAATTGGAGGAGAAACTGAAAAATTGTATTCGACACCATGATAAAATTCTAATGTGAGGATAAGTTTGCCAAATCATTCATCGAAATTGATGGTTATTTATTCGAAATTTTTTTTTCAGATTTCTTACGAAACTGGAAAAATTTTCAACAGGCCCGATGTTTGTACAATGCGTGGGGACCATTATTGCACTTTGTTTGATTTCTTTTGAAGCCTCAACAATCCAATTTAATGTATAACATATTAATTAAATATTTTCTAAATTCGTGAGTTGAACGCGAAATCGTTATCAATACCACAGCTACCTGAATGGAAATTCAAGTCAGGCTGGGATAAGAGAGTGATCGGTCAGAATTAATTTTAATCAGTTTTGGATTGGAAATGTAACGGTTATTTGGATCTATGCCTAATCAAATTGATAGGATCTGAACTTGCTGATCAGTACCAGATCCAATATAGATCCAGTCGAGATTTGAGGGATCAGAATAGGATCAGAATTTACTTCGCGGCATTGGGTCCAGATTCTCTGTTGACAATTTTATCGCATCCATATCCGAAAATATAGTCAAGAAATTCTGACCAGTATTGGAACGGAAACTGATTTACACCCAAGTGAACTGAGCGAAATTTCCATTCAGGTATCTTCGAAAATAGTTGCGTTTAGGATTCGGTGACAGAAAAACTACACACAAGCAATACAGGAAACTGCTATCGATCACGATGAAATGAGTTCATTTTGATAGACCTTAAAAAAATTAAGTATCAGGATCGGAAATTTTATTGCAAAATACAGTAATTTTTAGCGTTATATACGGGAAAAAAATCTTGTACGGCGTGGCAAAATTTCCAGTCCTGGCACAGAATTTCTTTTTGAATCACACGAAATGAACGTATATGACCGTGCTAGCGCTGCAATTTGTTGTATCTATTTTTTATCACCGTAAATAAACCTTCTACCACAGTATACTTGGTATACTGGAAGGTAATATGTATGTAATGTTGATTTACTACTTAGCGAAATGCTTGTTGGATTCCTTACATGTGATATACGATTTTCATCCATTCGATTATTTTACTCACACTCTTTTTCTCATTGAAATTTTCCTAATTCATACCGAAATTTCTACAGGGAAGCATAGAACCTATAATGAAAACAATCATGATGTTTGAATACTGGAGCAGTATCGTGGCTGAACTATTTCTGTATTGCTACATTGCTTCTAAAATTGGAGACTTAGTTAGATTCAATATATTCCCTATTTTTTTCGAATTCACATATTGTCATGCTGAATTTGTTCTACGTTTGTAGGGAACGGACGTTGGTCAAGCGATATATGCCAGCAACTGGGAGCAGTCCTATGTAGAATACTCAGTCGATAATAAGAGCAAACGAAAAATTTCCGCCATCACCAATATCATTCAATTCAGTATCATGCGTGCTCAACGTCCAATTCTCATAACGGGTGGTGGTTTTTATATTCTGTGTTTACCAACATTCAAAGCTGTAAGCTCGTTTATATAATAATGTTCAATGGTCCATACGAAAACGATTCACCTCGGCTTCACATTAACACATTAGAAAAACAAGTGGAAAATCGCATTTTCTGTATATGGGTATAGTTTATGTTGCTAACAAAATAGCAATATGCTTCCGAATGTATTCTCTATTTTTGAAATTTATTACTCTTATTTCTTATTGTTTTGAATGGTGACACCCATATGACTGTTATGATCCCTATATTACCCTTTTATGAGCCCATAGAACCACCATATGACCTCATACAGCCCCTATATGAATCTCATATGAATCCATATCCCATATGACCTCGCACAACTTTTATATGACCCCATATAAACCATATATGACTCCCATTTGACCTCCATATGACCTAAAGCTTCATATTGTTACTATGCAACTTGATAAATAGTTATGCTGTTTTAATCATCTTTGCACTTCATCGAGAAAGCATCAAAACAAGCTTTTTGAGCCATGATTTCAAAAATTATAGGACATTTTCAGTATTATTGGGAGCTCTATTACGTAACATAGTAAGCTTCACTATGTAACATATTAAAGCTCACTATGTTACGTAAAATGTCCTATGACACATAATGAAATTATTTCAAATAGTTAAATACCATCGAGGAATGAAACGGAAGTACATCAATGTTAGATACAGAAATATTATTATTCAAAAACGAAAATTTTCTCGTTGTAAGAACCATATGAGATCGTACGAGTTGTACGAGTCGAACGTATACGCTCAGCCACTCACCGACTCGAGAATAGACTCCCTGGAGGTGGACAAAATTGCCATGTACATTGCCGCATGTAGAATTTAAAGCGGTGTTCTGCCCTCTTGTGGAGAAAATGTGGGTGCTCACGTGGATGTGGGCATTTAGGCTCTGTCCCAACTTTTTTCTGGCCATAGTCAATACTGCCCTAAACGTGGTTTATATAGACGACAACCATGTAAAATGCAGAACTGATAAAGCAGCTAATTTTAGTAACTAGGAAACCGTTTGACGAAAGTATAAACACCGTAACGTGAATAGGAACCATAGCTCCTAAAATGAATGCCATGTAGTTAGGACAAGAATGTCAGCTCGTAAAATAACAAAGAAGTGAGGAAAGGTGATATAACAGTAAAAAATTCAAATGGTGGTATGATAGAAAGGGTTAATAAAAATAATGATAATGATAACACCCAACTGAGTTGAAACTCTGAGACGATTTCTTAAAAAGAAATCTCAGTCACTTCAATACCATGGAATAAACAACGAATTATATAATTTATTAGAAGAAATAACAATACCATATGAGGACAAGAGCAATTTTCCACTTGTTTATGGAAAGGTTTGTTTATTTTTCATCACGCGTAAATCGAAAAAACTGAAAACTTGAGTATGCACCATAATAAATCATTGTTCTAATCGAAACGAACCATTGCCAGAAATATTGCACATAACGCATGTAAATAGTGACGAAAAAATTTGTAGAACCGAATGACAGAGTGAACACTTTTTCTGTGGACAACTATACATATGATATAGTGATTTGAATTACAACTCGTGAGTAATGGACAAATTTCGTTTACAAAAGCTGGTGGGACTCTCTGTGTCAAATGCTCTTATACTTCGACAACTCCAAGAAGATGGTTAATGTAGACCTACATATGAACTTTCGTAAATGGATAACTCATGAAATTTGATTAAGAGTATACACAGAAACTAACGCTGAACCAATTTTCGTTGCCTTCTGTCTTTTGATTGAACCCTAATCCCACATGGACAATTCGCACATGACACGCGCAGTCTGGTTTGCGCGTGTCAGAAAACCCCTCAAGCTTTTAGCTTTCAGTACCTCGACATTTGGAAGGGTGGAAGGAATCCTAGTTTCTGCATTCCCCTACACTTTCACAAGTTTTTAACTTTAATCCCGATTCTCCTGGAAAATCATCTTTTGGACGGTATAATGTAGGATTTTCTGCAAATGAATCTTGGATTTTATAGAAAGAATCTCAGTCTTTCCTACATTAAAGTGCTTCTGCAGTGATTGGAAATGGAGAAAATTTTCGAATAAGTTAAAGACACCACTCAACACGTTAATATTAGAGCGAGTCATTACACTCTACATGCCGAGCACCTTTTGTCAAATAAAACCAATGAGATTAAATTTTAATGGATACCGTCGCATAGGGGTATTCAGAAATATGAGGAGACAGGTCGCTTGGTCAAGAAAGCAGCGACTTCAGAAGCAGATCAAAATGATCAAATTTCGTCCACAAATTTCAGGGAACTGTTCAAAAATGAGTCCTTTACTATTACAAAACAAAAAATGAAAAAAAATAGTGTTGGTAAAGGTATTGAGTCCTTCTGAAGATACTATAAAAAAATCTCGAAAACCACGGTTCTATAAATAGAAACTTTCACGAATGATGATTATGTGGACTAATCGTGCAAGGGCCATAGCCTGGCAAGCCAGGATTAATGTTGTTCCGTCCCCGGAGTGTAAACGTGGATGTCCTGAGGAGGACTTGAATCATGTTATGTGGCAGCATCCTATATATACATGTATACTGAGTAAGGACTATAGTTGTACAATAAACTTAAAGAGAAAAAAACGTTTCCACCCTTCGACATAAGTGATGTCTTTCTCAGTACACTCAACATCAGAATCAAGAGGCAGGGTCATTAGGCGTTTCTCCAGCAGTCTCGGAATGATGGACATGCTTGGACATATTAGGCGTTCTTGAATAGAGGCAATTGAAATTTTGGTGCTCCCTTTCTCGACCGAGATTCAATGGAAGCTCAGTCGAGTCGAGAGAGAAAGTCATTGGACATGTCTCCACCAGCCTCGGAATGGTGGACAGGCTTGGACACATTAGGTCCTCGCAAATGAAGGCAATTCAAAATTTGGTGCTTCCCCTCTCGATCGAGATCAAATGGAAGCTTAGTCGAGTGAAAAGACAAAATCATTGGACATGTCTCCAGCAGTTTCGGAATGGTCCACCACTCTGAGACTGCTAGAGGTACGCCCAATGACTTGGTCTCTTGACTCGACTGAGCTTGCATTGGATCTCAATCGAGAGACGGAGCACCAAATTTTTAATTGCCTTCATTTGCGAGTGCCTAATTTCTGCAAGCATGTCCAACATTCCGAGACTGCTGGAGACATGTCCAATGATTTTGTCTCTTCGACTCGACGGAGCTTCCATGGGATCTCGATCGAGAGACGAAGCACCAAATTTTTAATTGCCTTCATTTTCGAGCGTCTAATGTCTCCAAGCATGTCCACTATTCCGAGAGTGTTGGAGACATGCCCAATGACTTTGTCTCTTGACTCGACTAAGCTTCCATTTGATCTCGAGCAAGAGATGAAACACCAAATTTTTTATTGCCTTCATTTACGAGCGCCTAATGTTTCCAAGCGTATCCGCCACTCCGAGAATGCTAGAGGCATGACCAATGACTCAATGACTCTGTCTCTTGAATCGACGGTGCTTCCATTGGATCCCGGTTAAGAGACGGAGCACCAAATTTCAATATACTATATTCTTCACAAACGAGCCACTCGTCACAATTTTGCGTACCCATTCTTACTATCTTTAATATTCACATCAAACACATTCTCTACATAAATGAACAAATCGTCATCATTCGAAACTTGAAAGACGAACGCTGCATTAACACAGGCAGAAATATACAATCAACAGACACCAAGGGGATATTTTATCGATTGCAAACTTGCATCGTGGGAAACACAGTTCCTGTAAATTACTCCTAATTGTTTCCGGGGCGGAATCGATGAAAGACGGCATCTTGGAATATTTACTATGCAATTTTAGATATCAAGTATAATTTGTATTCGAAGGAAAGCGCTGATCAAAGAGCTAGAACAGACTACGAACCATGTCTTTCATAATTCTCCCCACGACTGTATTCTGAGGTTACTAGAGTGAAGCTTCTACTTCGAAGGAGAAGTGATATGAGTTCTGAAGGAACTATACCGACATTCAAAGCATTTGTCTCTCATGTTTTTGTGACACTAAGCCATTTGAAAATTTTAAAAAATTCAAACTCTTCAAAGTCGACTAAAATAATCGACACTTGTGGAACCACATGTTTACTTATGTTGAATTTCTTACTTGTTGTTTCTGAGGCAATTGATGTGAAAAATAGCTACGACTTGCCAAGCTTCGCAGCACGATTTAATCCACTTCTTTTTCATCTACTCGGATTGATTAAGTGGACTTATTGCCTAACGCATCTTGCCGATATTGAGAAACTAATCGTTAACATGGAACTGTGTCATGAAATGTGTCAAAAGATTGATAGTAATGATGAAGGTAAAGTTGACAAAAATACGTTGTTGTGGAATTTTCTCGATCCTTTCCTCATATATAACATAACTGATGAATTTTCTCCAGATAAAGGTCGCTACAGAATGAAAATGACAGATTGTCAAAGAAGTTCTAAGTTGTTCGTAAATATCTGGTTATTGGTGTGTGTATTCGGTGTAGTGCAATGGTGTGCGAATCCAATTATTTATGATCTGTACGATGATTTGTATGGTGAGAGAAGTATTAATTCCACATTCAGTAGGCATTTGCCTTATCCAGGTTGTTTTCCTTGGGAAATGAATAATCTCTTCATGTACATAATCTACTTTACATTTCAATTCGTTGGTGGTATTGGAGCGGGTATAGGCATTGGGGCTTACGATATTCTGAGTATCACATTTATAATGTATACTTGCATTCATTTGGACTACCTTAGTGAAACATTGTCTGCATCGGAGGAGAGAATTTGTTACAGGTAAGTAAATCTCAATTTTGTAATGAAGTACTATAACGAGTGAAATTGAGCATCCAATTATTGTTGAGGGCGTGTGGCCACGGCTTGTCTCTGTAAACTCGGTACCCTAACTCCATACAGGAAGTTAAAACCAAGGTTGCATAAGTATCGAAGATCACAGACTCAAAATTTCTATTTAAGAGGGAGGCTCCGGTGGAATTTAAAAGTCTTCGGTGGATCTGGGGACTTATTGAGCGACTTTCGTTATATGATGGGATATGTTTAAAAGTGGGAAAAATCCCGGACCCAATCGGTTTTGCCCCGTACTTCCACGGTTTTTCGTGTTTCTACCTTTAAAACGTTCTTCTTTCTCCAATTGTGATCCGATTTGACTTTTTTTTCGAAATGTTCGTGAGACTCCAAAGAACCAAGTTAAGCTTCCGTTTTACGATCCATTATATAGATCATGAAAAATTCGAAAAAACAAAAAAAATTAAAAAAGGGGTTTTCCTTCTGATCGTTAACTATTCAAAATAAAGACTTTTCAGGCATAGTGCAAGGAGAATCAGAAGGGAAAACCCTTTTTTAATAACAAAAATTGATTTCTCTTAAAAATTCACTGCCGTTTCAATTTGACCGTGTTGCACAAGAATTTTGCAAGAATTTTGATTATATAATAAAAGAAAACAAAACAAAATTTATTAAATAAATTTTATTCCATAAACTAGTTATGTCAACAAATTTTACACTTTTTTCATTTTTATTTTCTTTTTTCATATATATAGTGACTAATTTTAAATAAAAAAAGTCTTTAAAATTTGTTTACATAACTAGCTTATGGAATAAAATTTATTTAATAAATGAATAATTATCGAAACCTTCGCACGGTACTTTCTCCTGTCAGTTAGAGTCTAATCCATGTATGGGGTGGATCTAACTTTATTCTTACTCTAAAAATTAGTCTATGCGTCGAAGACGAAAGGCTCATCCCACCGAAAAGAGTAGGGGACCAATCGTAGCGTTGAACTCGGTCGATAGAGTTGGACTTACTACTAGTGGGGATATTTCAACTACTTCAAAATTGGCATCAATTTCTAGAAATTATTAGATAAAATATTCGAATGTAGGCGGTATAATCTAGCGCGAAATAAGGCGGTCATAGCGACCCCCGTGGTATTATAAGTAGCGATCTACTCAACACAGTCATCCGAAGTCAGTAGCAATTGTACTAACTTTCCCACTATAATCTCTGCTTAGAGGACTTCGAGAAATGATTCGACGAAAATCCCAACACCTGATTCATGAAAAAATTATGTTCCCAGTCAACTATCGTTTATAAAATTTGAAAAAAATACAATAGAGACTCGAATGATAGATGAAACCATTTATGAAATCTAATATGTGCTGGGATAAGATAAACAATGCAAAAAAAAACGGTAAAGATATTTGGGTAGTGGAGGGGGAAGTTGACTCGCGTATAATATGGCAGGAGTGTTAATCAGTTTAGAGCGTTCTTCGTGACGGGATGCAACTGCATCCCTTGATACCTGAATCCGATATATTTTATTCTCGAATCGAGACTAATATACCTGAACCTAATGTTATATTTTATTCCTGAATTGAGAATAATATAACTCAATCGGGTCTATTTGATTCTCGAATGGGGGATAAAAATTTCAATTTCAGGATATATTCATATCAGGTCCGATCGTACTAAGCTCTGTTAGGGGGAAGGGGGAGTGCACGTATACCGCCGAACGGGTTATTCTGCCCATCCGTATTTCTCAAAATTGGCTGAGACTAAAATTTTTGTTTCAATAATCAAACATTTAATTGCAAGAAGTAATTCTAACAGAAATTATGAATTTTTCCTGTGTATTTCCTATAAATTCTTAAAGTATTTCGTCCCGAGAATTTAAGGTTTTACAAATGTTTTGTTGGTCCATAATGGAATAGAGTGCGAAAATTCAAGGAATACCCCGATACAAATCATATAAGCAATTTACAGTTTACTCACTAGTAATAGCGCGATAGCGTAGTGGTTAAGGCATAGGATTAGTAATCATAGGGTCCCCGGTTCAATCCCCAGCATCGATAAAAAAAATATAAGCTTTTTCAGAGGTAATAACAGTGGAGATTCATTAAGAGAGGCGCCCTACGGTGAAAGAATTGAATTTTTTTTTGTTTTGGATTAATTATCATTCATAATTGTTATTGATACTGACAGACAGGTCATCCGGTTTTCATACAGTTGACTTGATCAAGTTCGGATCCATTCGTCGTGATCAAATCCAGATTGGTCAGAGGCGTAACATGTCTGATCAAGACCGGATCCGTCAATTTGATCAATACCTGACCAGTGGTCAGGTCTAACCTGATCCAAACTTGATCAAGACCTGGGAGTCTATTCTCGAGTCGGTGAGTGGCTGAGGGTATACGTTTGACTCGTACGATTACATACGGATCTCCATATGAGATCGTACGAGTCAAACGTATAAGCTCAGCCACTCACCGACCGGGGTACTCATCTCCCATTCGAGAATATGCCAGATTCAGGTATATTATTCTCGACTCAGGATTATGCATATACCTGATTCAAGAATAAACTAGCCCCCATTTGAATACATTTTTTATTGTACTTATTACGAAGATCCTCTCCCCTGTCGAATTAAACAAAAACTATCGAATTGATTCAAAATATCGTCCATATGCAATAACATAATTGTATTCAATCAGAGATAGGTCATCAAAGAGTCATTCATTTGAGAGGAAATTAAAGAGTTGTTTAGAGCACCACAATCAAATATTGGAGTGAGTATGTAATTTCCGTGAAATATTTGTTACGATGAAGATAACCTTCACTCTGCTACAGAGTATTTGAGAAGATAAAAACCATCACGAGTTTCCCCCTGTTGGTGCAGTGTCTCGATACAATTATCGGTCTCTGTCTAGTTTCTTTAGAGGCATCCACAACTGAAATAAATGTAAATGTAGAATCCACGCGGAGAAGACCCTTTTGGTTGGTCTCCTGCCACAAAATTTAAGAAGTTCCAAGACGGACATTCTACAGATATTCGTACCGTTTTTCTTTACAAATTACTGATCACCACTTGAAATCAGCGAAGAGGATCTTTTCCGTTCAGGAGAGCACAAAATTTGAAGGACCATAAAAATTTATGAGATCAAATTAATTTATTTCATTCATGATCAGTCCGGCGTGGAATGCCTAATGAAGCTATTAAGCACAGCAGAATATTGGAGTGGTATCAATATTGAACTATTTTTCTACTGTTATTTCGCAACGAAAATCTGCGAAATGGTTGGACTAATATAAAAGTTTTAGAATTCAACGATGGATAGGGTAGGAGGGTGAAAGGATTTTCAGCGTGCAGGCAAATCTTTGCTCCAAGAATTTTCCTCACTTGATGGATGAAACAATGAAAAAATGTGTGTATATTTAACCTCGAGGCGAAAAGGGCTTTTTCATTTATAAGTAAACGAAAAAAGACAGTTTACCCCTCATTAAACGTAACCCAATCAGAAAATATAGATAACATCAATAGAATGTTATTTTTTATAGAATCTTGTATGGAAGAATACATTCATTTAAGTAACCAATTGTGAGCTATACAGCCCTTACAGAGGGCAGTTCGTACAAAGAAGAGTTACGTAATACAATATTACAAATTTGAGGGAAGTATAATATAGATAAAGTGAACAAGTAAGTGAAAGGTACAGGCGTGAATAAAACTCACTTCAGCTCCTCTAAGAGGATGAGCTGAAGAGGACCAGTTCCTTGAGAAAATGAGACATTTTTTTGGTGGTAGATAGTTGCGTTGACAAGAGAGCTTGGATCCAGAAACTCATAGGGGTCTCTCACATCAAAATATTTTAATCGGAAGGAATCGTAGCGCGGGCAGATTGAAAGTACATGGATTAGAGAAAAAGGACCAGAGGACAGGCAATCTGGGCAATTGGAGGAGTAATCTAGTCGAAGGAAATCTGGACCTATTCTCAAACCAGCACAGTATATATTAAATAGTCTAATATTTGCAAAAATCTGGACTGAACTAAAGGGAAGATCTGAGCGCAGGTACCCCCGAGTGTCGGGAGGGCGACCGAGATTTTTGTAAAATAGACGAGATTCCTAACGAGTACAATTTATTCCATAACTTGCATCGCATAATCCAAAATGCATCGCATAATTTCGTGTTGAGAGATGGGAGAATCTAGGATAGGATGGAATTGAGGAGAGAATTGGAGTTTGGTAATGAGGCAGTCTGGGAAAATATTGGAGAGAAACAAAAACCCGTCCTCTTTGCCAGTTGAGTTAGTGAGAGAGCTGAATCGAGGGCGAAATTTATTTATAATTTCCCAGAAGAGGGCAGGATTGGATGCGTCAGCATGAGTTCTCCCAATTTCTTTGTCAAACATTATTTTCTTCTGGGCAATGAATTTTTTACTGGACGATTTCAACTTTTTTTTTATCGTTATTTTACGTCGCTTCGACGCGGTTAGGGTATGCTGCGATTATAATCAAGACTTTCAATGGTTAGACCTCACCACCATTCTACCCGGCCCAGTTTTGAACTCGGAACCTTTCGCACGTGAGGCAACGAATTTACCCACTGCGTCAAGTCACCGGACAATTACAGCTGGTAGATTTGAACTGGTAGTATCTTAACTTATTTAGAGTGTCCTTGATAGACTGCCATTTATGGAACGCGTTGAGCACTAAACCCGGAAAGGCTCGAATCTGAGTCGAACCAGTTCCTCGGGGAAATAGGTGAAATTACTCTTTCCGCTTTTTATTGATCTTAAGCAGGTGAAGTGAGGAGGACACACTCCTTATTGTATCCATTAATCGGTCATTTAACTCGTTAATTGGGAGATCCCCGACCCATTGGACCGCAGGGGATTATTGCATCTGGGAGTGATAGGACATTAGTGCAGCAGGCTTCCAAGTTAATCTGGGGAGGGGAGTAGAGGAGTCGCAATGGGGTGGGAGGGAGAAAGAGGAAGGAATGTGTCTAATATCAGTTCTACAACTATTGGCATATGATCAGAGTCAGTCGATAAATATTCGACGTCAAAGTCGCTAACATAAGATAAAAAGTCGATACTTAGACAAACATAATCAATGACGGACTCTGTATATTTATTTCGGAATGGGATGTGGGTAAACCGCGCAGGTTGACGAGGTTGTGGGATTCAAACGCATCATTTAGCAAAACTCCCGATCGGCCAGGATCATGAAGATCTGGGGAGGATCTTGACACATTAATGCTACAATTATGAGGGAAGGTGAGGGTATCGAATTCGTTACGCTTTGTTAATGAACAATTTCAATCTCCACCTCGGATAATAGGAGTAAGAGGATGGGAAATAGAAAGAGATCGAAGTTTCGAAGGTGGAAATATTCTGTATTGGGGGGAGATAAACATTACCAACTATAAATCGTCTATCATTGAGAATAAAATCTATGACTATACAACGCTTGTCTTGATGAAGAAGATTGTAGCGGCTGATGGTTCGTGGCAATGCGATCATGAGACCGCCCGGCGCTCTCCCTCTGGAGGACAGCTTCACTTCTCTGCGTTCTATCAAGTGATAGATGGTGGAGAGGTTTTTCGCCGATGGAGACCGTGAGTGGAACCGTGTCTCAGACAGACATAAGACATCGCCTTGGATTTTCACACCAGCAAGATCTTGAATGGTCACAAAGCCGTGCATATTCCAATACAAAACTCTGAAAGACTCAAGACTTGGCGGTGAAAAGATCGATTTGAGGGGCGAGGATGGCAGAGGGAACGTCCGTCGAACGATCCCCGACCCGCGTGGATTGTACTTTGGATACTATGGGCCGTTAGCGCCTTATTTCCGCCTCGGGAAGGCCTCCTAACAGTTTTGCGGATGTGGCTGACCTTGTGATGAGAACTGACAGATGTGGAGCCTGACGAAACCGACCGGGTTGTTCCCTTCGAGTTTCCACGAGTGCGACGAGGAGTGCTCTTGACAGAGGTATTCGAGATCTGCGGAGTGCTGGGCGCTGGCATGATAACCGAGTCAGATTTGCCACTTGTTTCGGATGTTGTAGCAGAGAGAGGAGGCAGGAGGGCCTGGAGTACTTTCTCCGGAATCTGCTCATCGTCAACATAGATGAGTTTGCCTTTAAGTCTTGCATCTCTACCAACCGCTTTCAGCCTAGTACATGTCTGGTGTTTCATTCTTCTCTCTTCACGTTCTTCTGGTGTGAGCCGTCCGCAATGGGAAACCCCTGCGTTCGAAATATCGCAGCATGTTTGAAAACATCAGATTTAAATCGACATGCCAGCAGTTTGACAAGCACTGGCCTGCTACCTTTTATTTTGCCAATTCTGTGAATTAGGTCGACACCCGAATCTGGTAAACAAACATTAGCCTTGGAGGGAATGCCCACGACGTACGAAAAGGTTTTTGTTTACCTCATCCGTGTCTGACACATTGAAAATCACAAAATTATTTCTCCTAGCGTCAGCTTGGAGTTTTGAAACTTGTTTTTTCAGGACTTTAACTTCTTTACTTATCGCATTACATTTTAAGTCTGTTTCTTTGTGAAGCAATTTAATGTCTTGCACTGTGGAGCCAATTTTATCAGTTTTTGCCGACAGAGCCTCAATGGAAGCCTTGTCGGCCATGTCCTTTCTCAATGTTTTAATTAGCTTCTCAATTTTATCGAGCTGTTCTTTGTCAGCCATCGCACAGAACTTTTCACGAATAACTTGATATGGAGAAAATAACAAACACTGTACTAAAACATTACTGATAATTGTACTAAGAAAAAATGAAAAAAGTAAAAGTTAGCCTTTCAGAGCGTGTTTATGCCCAGAGGCTTCTAGCTGCGTCAGATTGTCATGAATAAGAAGCTCTGGGAGCTCTGGGTAAACACGTCTGCTCTCGACGACAGACCGATACGAACTCCTCAGAAAATATCGTTCGACACCTGAACGATGGGGATTTCCCAGCTTGTGTGATTGGTAGCCCTCGGCTTCGCTTCGCGCCTCCAACTTCGCACTCGAGAAAAACCCGTCGCATTTGTATCGAAATATCTTACTGCTGAATTATGAATGGGGTAAATATATTTTTAAAAACATGAAAATACGGATTTATGATCGCTCTTATTGACATTTGCCTAAGTGAAACACTTTCCTGATCACTATTAAGCTAGCAATTGTCAAATATGAACATGCCGATGACACAAGGCGGACTCTCCACAATCAATATATTCGGATTTTACGCATAAATTCCGCGAACCTAACCCTATGTGTGAAGTTCGATTAGTTATGCGTAAAATATGGATCAGGTGTGTGTAAAGTCCGCACTCTTTATGTTTAAATAATCTCTTGATGTTTATGTTCAATAATTTGTTTTTCAATACAAAGAACAATTCTTTCCCTTTATGACAAGCTGAAATTGAGTTCAATTGATTAATTTGTTTCTGAGTTATGAATAATTTTTAAAAAGTCTAAAGTGTCCGTTTTACCCCACCCTTCCCTATATTTTTCAACTACTTCGCGATTTAGTTGATGAACAACTTAATGTCAAGTGCCACACATAAATAACAATGTAAACAAATTCGCAAATAAAAAATAAGAAAAAAGAAACCCAGGGCCCCTAAACGCCAGTACCCCAAGTATACTGCTCGTGTGGCGACCGAATACGAGGCAACCCGAGCTCGATTCGTGTCGTACAGCGCTGGGATAGGTTCATCCTCACTCCGGGGGGCCTAGTACGCTTTGTACGTGAGAGGTAGTAGATTATCTTTTGTTTTGAATTAATCATTGTGGATAATTATTATTGATACCGGACGACAAGTCATCGGGTTCGTATGCGTTTGGCTTGATCAAGTTCAAATCAATTCGCTCTGATCAAATTCAGATTGGTCAGAGGTGTTACATGTTTAATCAAGCTCTAATCCGTCAACATGAAATTTCCACTCGGATATGCTGCCAAAAGGATAAATTGACGATGAAGAAATGTTCTTCTAAGGAAACATGCAACCTTCTTTTGAAATTATAATATTATCATATGTTTGTATGAACATATGTTTTCCATGGACATGTCCTAATAAATTCAAAATTAATAAATTCAAACTAATAAATTCAATAAGTAAATAAACCTAATAAATTCAAAACTATGAGAATTGCAGTTCTTATAGTTTTGAATTTATTAGGTGGCAAGAATTCATGGAGCAAAGAATTTTGCCGAATAGAATTTCAATAATTTTTTTGCCCTCGTGCCCTCTTAGATCGATTGCTTATTATTATTCATTTTTTCAGGGAGCAGGAATAAGCGATGCATTTTACTGTTGCAAGTGGGAGCAATCCGCTGGGGAGAACGAATCTAATAGCCTTCAAAGAATAAAGGAAAACAAGATGGTCGCAATGGGCATTATGCGCGCCCAAAAACCGATGGAAATCGCTGGTGGGCCATTCTATGTTCTGTCGCTAAAAACATTTAGAACTGTGAGTAGAAATGAAATTAATAATCATCCTCCAGCGTTTAAAGACATTCTTGAAAGCCAAAAACATTTGTAGATACATGGCTCAAAATTATTCGTTCTATTGATTGTGGAGAGTCCGCCTAAAAAATTCTTCAAATTAAATATATTGCACTACTTTCGCATTCGCGAAAAATATCCACCAAAAGCGAGGGGTTATTCAATGGTAAAATCACTGTGTCACTCTGGGATGAAATCGGATGAAATTAGTTCTGAAATCGCGTGAAATCGAATTAAATCAAATGAAATCGAATGATTTCATATGAAATCACTTGCAATCATTTGAAATAAGTGAAATCACTTGAAATCATTTGCAATTACCAAATTGGTGAAATGAGAAAAGCAAAACATAACTCTGTCGAATTCCAGCATTCTCAAAACCAGAGCGATATTTCTCATGAATCTCACAATTCACCGTTAAACGTGTTTAGTATTGTAGTTCAGAAAAAATAGGTTAGACGAAAAATTTAGACCATAGTCCGCTTTTTTTCAGATAAATTTTTCATCATAAGAAAAAAGCGAGTGTACAGAGTTTGAAGTCCGAAATGATTGTCAAAATTTTCTTTTTACGTATTTGAACACTTTTTTTCTTAAAAAAAATTGAGATAGTATGATGATTCAAATTCAGGGTTTATCGATGGCAATGGGCATGGAATGGCAATTAGCTTCGGAAAAAAAAATCATCACCCGAACACTTTGACGTAAAAAATATTCAATTAGGTCACCTAGTTTTTGAAATATTGAGGCAAAACGATTTTTGAGAAATTGCTGTATCTCAAAAACTACTTGATCGATTGGGCTGAAACTGCGCTCAGAACTGCTCCCAAATGATAGCAATTATGTGACAAAATTGCAGATGTGTAGCTGCAATTTTACTTCTCTTTTTGTTGAAATTTATAAAAAATTTCCCAAAAATCTGCACACACATACGGACATACATACCCACATTTTCTAAAAACAACATATCGTCACGTTTCGTGACATTGTACATAATTTGCAAGAAAAAGTAGAAGATCGTAAAAATGACCGATCACAAGGCTTTCATTCTGGAAGCAACAAATGCTTTCCTCATACAAGCAAAAACTTTATTAGTTAGATATGTGGAAGCATTATTTAGATGACGAAGGAAAAGAATTTATTGATGTGCAATAATAATTCTCTGTTCTGTCTACTCATTCTATCTGATCATTCTTCTAATGAATTTGAATTGATGATCTACTTCGAATGAATGCACTATTGATTTCATAGAATTGAAGCTTTATTATGTAAATAAATATATGAATTTCAAGAAAAAAACTTGTAGAATTTAATAGGCAAATTTAAAATGAATAGATCAATTTGTTTAATTTTTTTTAAAGAGTTTAAGCCTTAAGTCACTTGAGTTTATAAACGCATCAAGAGGCAATAGTGAATTTCAACCGGTTATTTTAGAGATACTTCCTATGTTCATAGGATCATTTTCCATTCACATGGTAACCATTTCTATGGACATGGTAGGCATTCCTATGTAACATAATAACCATTACCAAAGGACATAGTAAGTATTACTATGGAACATAGTAAGGATTACTATGTAGGGGCATTTGAAAACCCTTTTACTATATTACCAGGATAATCTCTTCTATGGCCATGGTAATATTTACTATTCAATTCTCTCCGTGCAGTTGAAATCATTTGAAATCATCAAATCGCCGACAAAATTCTATGAAATCAATTATTCCTTGAAATCACGTGAAATCACTTTGAAATCAGAGGGCCTACGATGAAGAAGGAACGTTCGCACTGCATGATAAGTGAAAAACAAATGAAAACACAATGTATTCTAATAGTTTCCAAGTGAAATTACATAATGGAACGCTCCATTTTTTTTTCATGATAGGGACTCAGCAATCATTGTGTCACAATATTCAATAGTGAATAACCCCTCGATCAAAATTCCGATGCAAACACTCAATATGTAATTTTTTTAATACAGCTGACGAGTATGTCTCTCTCTAACGCACTCATACTTCGACAACTCTCCAACCAGGATTAACGCTGAGAATAACAGACAAGTGTCATCATTCATAAGAATCGGTCCAATAATCGAAAGAGCATGCTTATATTCGTCTTTATTAACCCTGAAATTTAGTAATGAGATTAAGTTCTACATTCGACTACCAGTTGTATCTTATATTTTCCTAGTACATTGTCGACGATCCGCAGATGACTCGCGCATTCGGCGCGCGCGTGTCATGACTAAACGATTGCGCTTTCACGTCTTTCAAACTACAATAAAATTCTAGTAACAAATACAGTTAAATCTTTGTCCAAATGACTTGTATATGGAAAACAAAATTATAAAATGAATCCCAAAGTTACAACTTTAATTTAATTGAAGAAGATAATAGGAAATTCCATTCGATCACAAGATAATTATGCCGACCACAGAGAGCATCAGCCGACTGACAAAGGGGATTCAAGAAATGGTGGGGAACGGTCGCCAAACGTAGTGGAAGGGAAGCGGGACGAGTGAGTTGCAGCTGTTCACCTACAACTGTATAAGGAGGGCGCGCAAGTAACAGAAGAGTAGAGCTATAAGAGCTTCACTAACTTCCCCTCACCACTATCCTACTCTCCTGATTCAACGACCACGTGTTCCGATGAAGCATTTTTGTCAAGAAAATTAATTCTCACAACTATATTATCATCTTCTGCGCTATCATATTAGCCTAGTAGGAACAAGTCCGCTTTTGAATGCACGTGGCTGATGAACATCAATGAAACCTCTATGCTATTTTCGTCAAGGTTTTTCCAGGATTTTTCGTTACAAAGAAAAATCGAAAAAGGAACTTTCTAAAACCTCATATCATATCTGTCCTATAGTACGTTCATGTGACAAACATTCATATCACTTGAACCAGCAACTTTTTGAACGGCATCCAATGTCGTTAATTTCACCTTCCATATAATTATGGTAAGTAAATAACTGTTAAAAGATAAATTTATGTAACCAGTTTATACATTAATTTTGTATTGATAGTTAATCATAGATGCAAAACTGGATTCCAGTAAAAATTAACGATATTCTCAAAATTTATATTAAAGAATGCCATATGATTTTAGGCACATGTACAATTGTACATGTACGCACAGAACTCGATTTATTGAAATTCACCAGCAGTTTCTGTACATGTATGATCTCCTGGTCGCGAATCCGTGGAATGCGGAGTCCTTGTGGAGGCTTCACTCACCCAACGTGAATTTCACCCTGTTTAGACCACGGTCATAATAACCGTACCACACGAAGGACCGCGACTGTATTACGGCGCCTCTAGGTGTTCGACCGATTAGTTTCGTTCCCGATATATACATATATATTGTTGACACTCACCAAGATTCCTCACCTGCCCATCAAAAGACGTAAAGTCATCCACATTGGCTAACCAAAGATCAGAAATGCATAAATGCGAAGAGGTAGGGAGGTGAACGTTAGGCCTCGATCAATCGTTTTCATGTTGTTCACCTCCTTCAACTCATGTTCTTCTGTACATTCCTTGGCGAAATGTGGACGCCTTTCAGGAATGGTTTTTCTTAGCACCCTGAAGTATCTAAACAACAAACGTGTTCAACGGCAGCTGCCATTGAATTGAGTTGGAGTTTCAGACTTGACCATGATTTAAAAAATTTGACAGAAAATTGGAATAAATAATGACAATTATTTTTTGTTTAAGATTACTGCGTCTATTTTTCTCCTTGGATGTGAATGGAAAAAAAATAATCGCGTGAATTCATTGGGGAACAATAAATAAATTTGACGATGGGCAGTTTCATATTACCCGTGCTTCCCATTTTAGGCTTGGATACTTCTTCTATTCGTTTCCCATTTTGCTTGCCCACAAGATGTTATCAACCCACCCGTTTCATAGTGAGTGGAAGCCATTTTGTTCCAGAGGCCAGAGCGGACGCGGTTGCGCGGGAAGCTCCAAATTGATGAAACGACACCAAATCTGTTACAGGATTAGTGGTAAGCTTTTATAAATTTTTCTGTAGCCAAATTTAATTGTAGAAATGGGATAGTTGATTGTATGCATTGGCAAAAATCTTTTTGAAATATCAAGAATAGATTATATCGTCACATCCAATAGTTGTGCATTAACTGAGCTATTTGGTGTATTACTATACATCGTACTCGCAATTAAGTGTATTGTCATTTATCAAGAATTCTGCCACGAGAGAATTTATTCACAACCGATGAAAATTTACTCAATTATCATACAAGGGTCGACAACTATGACTAAATCAAATTTGTCTAGAAAACGGAATCCATAGATTTTTTCCATAGAATATTTTCTACTGTATTCTTTTTGATTAAAAAAATTTACAATAGATTTGGCTACAGAAAAATGACAATTCTCAATAGAAATTAAACAGAATTTTCAAATACGTATCATTAGATTATGAAATCGGTGTATATAAATCCTGAAAAAATCAACGTATCTCGAGTAAACGATTAAACGGTTAAACGATTTTATTCTCTTCAAAGTTGAGCCTATTCTCCATATTTTAATTCTTTTATACATAGCAACAAACATGGAGAATATCCGTCCCGTCAGGAAAAATTCAATTTCATTCTTATTTTTCCATTTTTTTTCGCTGAAATCTTCTATGCGCCTGATAACTCAAAAAATAATCGAGATAGAAATTTCAAAGTCAGTAGTATTCTCTGTGTCTTGAACTAGCAATGTTTGGAGGAATTTAACATTCTACGTTCTTTCTAGTATTACCTTAAATATCTCAAAAACTACTGAATCGATTTCTATTTTCCTTTCTTCGTAATGTTCATCACGATAACTTGGATCTAGTTGGGTCAAAATAACTGTACCTCTGTATTTCAAGTTTTGAAGGTTTTTCCTTCTATATTTGTGTGCGCCAAACTCGCTTATACGTGCTCTAATACATATTACATATTATAGTAATACATTGAAATAAAAATCTGAAATTTCGCCGGTTACATAGTATTGTCGTGTTTTTGGAACGAATGGGGCAAAAGGAAACTCCCCACTTTTTTTTTAAATGTCAATAGTTCATCGAATTGTTAATTAAGTATAATAATTTTCATTTCCATGGAAAATACAATCCTTGCTCTTTGAAATAAGCCTCGAAGGAGCTCAATTGATGAATTTATTTCTGATTTCTAAACACAGAGAATAAAATTAAAAGGGTCTATTTTACCCTATCCTCTCCTACTTCTGCGGAAAATTTGGACTTTATCAATTTATACAGTATTCCATGGGAAATTATTTTTTCCATTCATTAGCACATTGCGGTTTGGGTATCCAAATTTATATAATAATGATTATACGAGTTGTCCTTGATATTTGTCACGATATCTCCTTTTACTTTTCCATTCTATTTATATTACTAATTCCTCGGAAAGCTAGCTATTAACGGAATTAGTGGAGCAAGAAAAATGATAACGCATTCGACAAAGGCTCAATATCGATTACATGCAAGCGTTCCCTGATTTTCCTTTCCTATCATTTTTCTCTAGACAATAAAAATCAATAGTTTGGGAAAACTGTGCCTAGGAAAGTTTTGACATTTCCCTTCGATAGTAAGATATGTTCCGAAAGACATACAGCGGTGAAATAGGTTCATCCAACTTTACCACAATATCACTAAATTCAATACAGCTTTCTCTCTTTTCAACAGAAAGAAATAGAGTAATCAGATTATATTGTTTATATGAGAGATAAATTTGCTCGAATTTTTCAGAAATCTTTTGAATTCATATCCTGCGCATTGAATGTGCCTCCCTCTAAATCACTCTGTTAGTTCTGAAAACAACCACCTAACAGCAGCACCGTCACTTCTCGATAGAATATCTGTTGTAACCTATCATTCTGTTGTCATTGCGATAGTGTTTGAAAAGAAGGTGTGTAGATAATTTTGCGAACTTTTCAATAAGCCGAACCAAAGAAGGAAATACTTCTGAGATCGCACTAGCTGGCCTATCGTAAATTTTCTACCTAAACTCCACCACCTTCACAAAATGGTAAAAATTTCGTCACCAATTTCGACATTCAAAAGTCGTACGATACCTAGTATATTTTCTCAATTTGATCTCTGTATTAATCATTATTGAACCGTTTTTTTATTCAGGACGTATTTCTCATGATCAGGAGGAAGAAAATGACGATCTTCACAGACGCCAAGGATACTACCAGTGTAGCTGAGCTCAAGAGGATTATTGAAGGTACGCCGGGTTAAGAATATAATCATTTTCCTTTGATCAACTTCCAATGAAATTGAATCCAATGATTGAAACTTATATCAGCTATCAAGAGATCTTCTTCGAGAGGTTTGCGTATAAGGGAGGGTAGGGTAAAATGGACTTTTTTTAAATTATTCATAACTCAGAAACAAATGTATCAATAGAGCTCAGTTTAGGCTCATCACAAAGGGAAAGAATTGCTCTTTGTATTGAAAAAAAATTATTAAATTCCATCAAGATTTCAACCCGTCACTAATATTTAAAAACAGTTATAAGTGTCCATTTTACCCCAACCTCTCGTGTATGAAAAAAACATTATTTTAATTGCGAAGCGATAAACCGGGTGAAGTCGATCTTGACTTTTGGTCAATTTTTTATGAATATCTCGGAATCTAAAAGTGCAAAATTTTTCTCATGACCTTTTTTGTAGGGTCAATTGAGGGTTATAAAAAAGGTTACATTCGTCAAAAACTGGCCAATAGTTCAAATCGACTTAGCCCGGTTTACCGCTTCGCTACTGAGTTATTTCATTTCTATTTTTTTCTTGGCAAATCCGTTGAAATTGATCTGTTTAATCATTAAAAAAATTGAGTACTTCTCCCCCAAAAATTTCCGAATTTTTCTCTAACATTAAAAAACTGAATTTTCGCGAAGTGGATAACCATCCTTAATTTTAGCATATCAATACAAATTCATCGCAAGTCTCATGCCTGAGAGTTGACAACTACTTATTTGTAATAAACGAAATTTAACTCCTGAATGAACTTTCAAATTAAATACTAACCATTTTTTTTATATTCCAGGAATCCTGAAGATTCCTCCAGTTAATCAGCTGTTATTCAACAAAGAGAATGTACAGATGTCAGATTTAAAAACTCTCGCTGATTATGGTCTAACCTCAGCATCAGCAAAAGCACAGTGTCCAGCCTTAGTAGGGTTAGCAGTACGTCAAGAGAATGGTCAGTTCGAACCCCTTGAAATTACACCATTCTCGCTTCCACCAGACCTACCTGATGTGATGAAATCACAGGAGGCAAATGGCCAGGAACAGTCACCCTGAAGTCCACTCATGATCAACTTGATCATTAACTACAACAAAGTCCTTATTGATAAATAAGAAAGCTCTTCACTTCGTTAAGTTCTTGATATAAAAAGGAAATGACTAAATAAAGTTAATTAATGGAATAATATCAAAATTTGTTTCTCATTTAAAGTGTAAGAACTTATTGGACATTATCAGTTTAAATAAGGTAAATGCAGTGATATCATCGTGAACCTGGTTCTTGCTAGCGATCTACTCTGCCATTTTTCATGCCTTTACGTAAAAATTGATATCAATTTTTTTTCTAATCAATGACTCTTATTCTATTTAGTAGAGCACAATGATTATCTAGAAAAGTATCCAAAATATTTTAAGTTCGATTTTTTAAAAATATCAGTAGAAACTGGGTCTCTGGCTGTATTCAGTTTTGATACATCGTAATCCATAGGTTCATTCTCCAAGCTAATTTCTCAATTTAGGTTTCAAATTAATAATCTGCCATGACTGATCGACGTAACGGATTCATTAAAGCCATAAATTTTTCAATTCGTTATATAATAGAACGATTAAAACTGAATTTGGTTACTCTGAAATCTTCATAATGTGGTGCTTGTCACTACAATAGTTAGAGGATATAACCATGTCGAGCAGAAGATGAAATCTTCATGATCGAAAAAACTGCTTTAAATTAGGATTTCTCAGAATATCCCACATATTCTCGATAGGATCTGTCACTGTAGAGAACCCTTTACCTGTGTTGATTTCAGGAATTCATGATTTTAGAAAAAAATCCATGCGGATACATTCTTTAGTTTCATCTGAAAATAATTGATTTTCTTCAGCAATGTCATAATAAACAGCATAAAGATGTGATACAGTCAAAAAGTTTGCAAAAAAAAACATGAACCTTCAAACTTCTATCGTCATCTATTTTCCCAGTTCTTCCATTTTTGGGTGCCTTCGTAAGATATTTACGATTCTTCTAAATGTGATTTGAGAATGTTCTTTGTAGTGAAAAGGTAAGACGTCTTCAGAGAAAGGCGACATGTCTGTTAATGACGTAACTGTTATAATCATTATCAAGGCTTATTATTTCAGGGAGAAGTTTTTGAGAGATCAGCTTTGTAGAACTGCAATAATTCCCATCAGAAAATGTTTTCTAACTCCACTCAGTGCTAGAACAGTTTTTTCATGTTTAACAAATTGTGAAAAATTGATTATGGTTTAGCACTGCATTACTAAATTGAATTCTCCTGTAAATTATTCCAATCCACATTGACGCAATAACAATCGTTGTTAATACTTTAATAAACATTTTGTATACACAATATATATTCTTCTAGAGTCGACAAGTGCAAATAATCGCTTTGATTCCACTTAAAAGTTGCAAAAATTAAGAATACTTAATCATGAATTTTTTATAACTGTAAACATTGTCATGTCAAATGTGATCGATATACGTAGTCGAGAAAGAAATTTAAACCTGCCTTTCTGTTACCATTTTCTCTCATAGTCACAATAAATAATCATAGAATTCTTCTAGTTGAATACTTTGCATCATTGCAATCATCAGTTTTTCCCCGCGAAACTGATTTAATGCCTCGTATTTTGCGAGAATGTAGAAAATACAATTTTTTCAAAGAAATTATGTATAAGTTCATGAACTATTTGCGTGCATTTCATTTAAGAAATCTTGGTATATGTGTTTCTTGCTTGGCACATAGTGGCCTCCCTCATGTATCATTAGCTTCTTATTGGTAAACAGGTCACTGAGGTCTTTAGCCATTTCTGAAAATAAGAAACAATATTTTGAATTTTTCCATGACATCTCTCTTATTTAATAAATTAGGTACCAAGTGTTGATTATACCTGTTGGAATGATCTTATCACTTTCTCCAAATACGTGAAGTGTTGGTAAGTCGATGGGTTCATCATAGAATTTCGCGTGAGGTGCGCAGAGAGATTTAAAGCCAGATATCAGGATAGCAAACTTGAAATTGATTGGTGATACTGAAATCATAAAGATGAATGCAATATTGTCGATTCTGTGGTGAATTTCAATGCGGATTTCTCTTCCCGGACCACTTCATCTTTTTCATCCTTCAGAAGTTAACGAGAAGATTTTTAAATTTTTTTTTTCAAATATTCGTCTAGGAAAAATCATCTTCATTCTTCAGTCAAACACGACATTTAAACAAAATCTGCGTATTATTTGGGAATGAGTGATACCAATATCAAGGAACCTAGTCTGCACTGACGAAAATCAAAACAAAAGCGCCTGTCTGACAAACAGGGGACATGGGATCATACCCCACTCAAGTTCGAGTCAATATGCCTCCGAATTTTTTAACTTGTGCATTGATTATTTAATTGTTTCCCTCGTATAGAGGTCTGGAACGTGAATGGATAGCATCCCTCTTTCTACACTGAGAGGAAAATGTAGCCAAACGCACGGATTATTTTTTGACTCAGTTGCTCAGTGCTTTTCAATAGTGCCAATGAAACAATCCATGGGCGATATGGAATGAGTCGTCACTTTCAGCCAATTGCATGATTAAATTGTATCCTTCAGTAGCAGACTTTAAGATGGAATGAAATAAAACAACAAGAGTCCAACTATGTTGAGATTAAGCCCGATGTTTAGGTCTCTCTAATGCAGGGCCATCAGAGGGACCGAATAATTAACAAACTAATTGAGCACTGATTGAAAGTCGCCCTATCAAACTTTGAACATCTTACTACATCACTAATAAATGATTCTGTCTTTTGAAGAAGATGTATATTTTTTCACATGCTGCATTTAATATATGAACTGATCAAGTTATATTAAGAAATACAAGATGCACAAGTGCTAATAATAGTAAATATAGTATTCATATAAAAGAAAGTATCGAAGAGAAATTGATGGGCTCGAAACGGACGAAACCCTGTCAATCAGTCATTTCAAATACAGGCGTACAGTCGAGATTATAGTCTTTGGGTTCCATATAACATAATGGTGGAGAAATGGGAACCGAGGGCTACAATCTCTCCGGTGCGATTATACCTCTGGTTTGAAAATCATAATTCACTTACATTTCTTTTGCTGTAAAGCGCAGAGAATCGAGACGAACGATGCACCTTGAGAGAATCCCAGAATTCCATCGAAAGGCCCTTCCTTTTGGAATACTTTTTCTATATATGCCAGACTTTCCTCGTAACCAACTGAGAGATTACTCGGCTCTGTTGCTCTGAAGTAATGACTTTCCGTATTAAACCACCATCCTTTTCCTTCCGAAAAAAAATGGAAAAATTCATGCCATCAGTCGTCAACCCAAAGCAATTCGAATAGATTAGCAAAGAGTCGCCCAAAATGGCCACTTTTAACTTTTTTTCAAGGTTCGTCGGCGATCTATGGGGTGTACACGTATGAAAAAATCGTATTGAAATTTTCTATAGGATTTCCATATATGATATCAGATATTTCTATACGCATATTTTCTATATGAATTATTTCTATACATAAATTTTTGTATTCATACGAAAGATGTCTAAACATTTCAGAGAGAAATGTCGCAACTCCATACCAAATGTTTCTATACATGTGGCAGTGAGTCGTATAGGATCAAACCTATAGAAATCGCATAGAAATAATTTTAAAAAAATATCCGTATAGAAATATCCGAATATCATATACGAAAATCCTATAGAAATTTCTATACGATTTTTACATACGTGTAGAGGATGCATAGGTTAAACTCTCCTGACCTTTTCTGTGCAGAAGAAAATCTATTCTTCATATTCTATTGATTCTATTCTTTACACTTTTTTGAAACATTTTTCCATAGTTCCATTTATAGTTTTTGGGCGTGGTCTTTCTTTTTTTTCACCCTATGGAGTGCACGGAGAGGCTAAAAATTCACACATAGTTGCCCAGGGCTCTCATGCAACTTCTATTAAAATTTGGTCCGCGGAGGTTTTCACACCCGTTTTACCTATTTTTATGGAACTACTCACAAACAAATTTATCAATTGAGCTCAGTCTAGGCTCATCTCAAACGGAAAGAATTGCTGCTTCAGGTGATATTACCTCCGACAGCCTCTTCTCCATCGTTAGCAAATTGCCCTGGGGGCACTTCATGTGGGGCTTCAGCGAATACAAAATTAATCTTCTTAAAACCTTTCCTCAACGATCCCAGCTTAGAACGGAAAATAGGACCAGATTGATAATATCCATGAATCGCAAGGATCTGCAAAACATATGAATTAAATAACGACTAGACAGAACATCGAGAACAGATAGAACGGACCCTTATTTTTCTATTTTCTGCACTCATTTTCAATTTCTCCTTGCAGACCTGATGAATTTTCCGGATTCAAAGCACTGAAATAGAGTGAGGACGGGTACAGACACTGTACCCTACTTTACCTAATTCTCACTCATATCAATATCTCCCACCTCTGAAAACCAATGGAACGGTCTAGTCAGTTAGTGTATATTGTGATTATTATAACCAAAACATCCAATGTCATGAGGCTTCTCCACTGCTCCAATTTTTTCCACGTGTAACTTAACCTCATTTGATGATTTCATGAAAGACCAAAACAAGCCGGTAATATTTTTTTTTTCCATTTCTTATTGTTACTTTTTTTTTCTATTTTCATTTTGATAACACGATAAAAGTTGGAAAAATTGTGCAAATATGAAAATCTGTCAATATAATGATTGAAGTAAGGCCAAAATATCCGAAGACTTTTTGGCAAGAATTTTATCAATTAGAAAACGATGGGGTAACATGGAATATTTATCGACTCAAAATTCTAATATTTTCGGTTATAAATAAATATATCAAGGTGGCTTACACAAACGTTCCCTTTTGCCCTACTCTCTCCTAAAAAATTGACTTATGAATTTTTAGGAGAAATAATAGATCTTCCATGTAGATGAAGAAATTTTAACAAAGATTTCACTTCAAGATAGGAACTGTGAATTATTTCCTAAATTCAATAATTCAATAAGTCGATAGTAGTGATGAGGCTCGAAAAGGAAAGATAGAAAATGACTTTTCTAAATTAACTTGAGATAAATTTGCTCCTTCAAAGAATGTTTCACACCTCGAAGGTTAAATTTAATGGTATAGCTCAGGACCAACACATTTTTTTCTTTACAAAATGACCATAAATTCTGTTCATTTTGTAACTCATTTCATGTTTTACATCAAGATTTTGTCTCCACACATTCTAATCCTCACGATATACATATTGATTAATTGTGTGGATTAATTGAAATTCTACGTTGTGAATTCAAACATGTATATGTTCAATTAGTTGGATAGACATAATTCCGCAGATATAACTTGAGCATGTGGAATTCAAGAAATGGAAGTTATATTTTTCTTGAATGGCACTTGCTTCAATTGTACAGATTGACTGAGTAAATTAAAATTTAGTAAAACTCAATATGTACATTGTGTTATTAGAATGTGGGGAGTACAATTTCTACAGATAAGCTAACCATCATGTGTTGAGGAAAAAAGAAGGTGCTCCATTCGGTGGGTATAGATCATTATGATTAGAAAAAGACCGTTTTGTTTTTACAGTATGTCAATGAAACACATATTACACATATTAGTTTTTTGATACAAGGTGTCTCTTAATAATGCTACCTATATCATTGTTCAAATTCAATATTTTCAATCTTCCAAATTTGCAGAAAACCAGAGAAAATGTCGAAGAAAAAGCGAGAAGATGCTTGGGATTCAAACGGCCTCCAAGATTGGGTGATTATTTTTATAAATATTTTTCAAATGTAAATAAAAGAATGCTCTATCAACTCCATGACCGAACAATGCCTGTTACATTACTTTAGGCCTCTTACATGGCAGCGAAAAAGTCCAAACTCGAGGACCAATTTGAACAATTAGCACAAGCTGAATTCCAAGACGCCACAAATCTCTTCAGAGGGATCGCCATTTTTGTCAATGGCTACACTAATCCCTGTGCCGATGTATTGAAACGTCTGATGATGGAGCACGGGGGCGTTTACCATACATACCAACGTTCTAATAGCACAACACACTTGATCGCCTCTAATCTACCTTACTCGAAAATAATCCAGTACAGGAAGAGTAAGAATCCGCTGCCTTTATGTAAACCTGAGTGGATTACTGACAGTATAAAAGCTAAAAAATTATTAGATTGGAGACCGTATTTATTATACAACAGTACATCAGTGACTCAGCCTCAATTGCAACTGATAAATGAAGCTAAACACTTTAAAGAAGATGCAAATCTTGAAAAGTCAAAAACAAAAGAAGATCCACCAACTTCAACCAAACCACAAGATCCATCAGTCAAATTCTCTGAACCTCCGAATCATAAAAATGGGCAAGAAAAATCTCCAATACTTAAGGAAGTTCATTCAAAACGCGGGGGGACAGCTCTATGTTCAAAAGACGAAGAATTCCTCTCAGAATTCTACAACAACTCTCGTCTCCACCACATTGCAACGATGGGAGCAACATTTAAAGAGTATGTCAACGAACTTCGATCAAAAAATGATGGATCTTTCCCAGGTTTCGCTCGTTTAAAAGCTCTGAACACAAAAAAATCAACTCGAATACCAAAAGAACAAAACGAAGACCAGGACCAGGACTCAGACTCTGATGAAGACTTATTTTTCCAGAAACGCTCAAAACGTCAAAACGAAAAGGAATCTGTGATAATGCACATCGACATGGACTGCTTCTTCGTCTCAGTAGGATTACGGAACAAACCGGAGTTAAGAGGTCATCCAGTGGCTGTAACTCACGCAAAGGGCAACAAACCATCATTAAAGGGAAGTAAAGAGGACGAAGAGTTTGGTTCTATGTCAGAGATAGCATCGTGCTCATACGAAGCGCGAAAAGCAGGCCTAAAAAACGGAATGTTCCTGGGACAAGCCTTGAAACTCTGTCCAAATTTGAAGACCATAAAATACGATTTCGAAGGATACAAGGAGGTCTCTTATACTCTTTATGATACATTAGCTTCATATACACTGGACATTGAGGCAGTCAGCTGTGATGAAATGTACGCAGACGTTTCCAATATCCTTCGTGAATCGGATCTGACCCCTGCCGAGTTTGCTGCCATCATCAGAGCTGAGATCAAGGAAAAAACAGGATGTCCAGTGTCAACAGGATTCGGTAGTAATAAATTGCAGGCAAGATTAGCTACCAAAAAAGCGAAACCTGACGGACAATTTTATTTAAAGAATAAAGATGTTGAGTCTTATATCGGGACAATTGGGATTGGGGAAATTCCGGGGGTTGGATGGTCCACTATGCATCAGTTACGTAAGATGAATGTGGAATTATGTAGGGATTTGCAAAAAATTGCTTTGGGAGTTCTGCAAGAGAAGTTTGGAAAGAAGAATGGAGAAATGTTGTTCAATACTTGTCGAGGGATTGATCATTCTAAACTCAGTACAGAACATGTGAGGAAATCGGTATCAGCTGAAGTTAACTATGGGATTCGGTTTCAGAGTGATAATGATGCTAGGAGATTTTTAATGAAATTGGCCAAGGAAGTTTGCTCAAGGCTATTGAATGTCAATGCCAAAGGAAGATGCGTGACGCTGAAATTGATGGTGAGAGCGAAAAATGCACCAGTAGATCCTGCCAAGTTTATGGGACATGGGTTGTGTGATAATTTCACCAAATCGAAAAATTTCATGACGCCTGTTGACGATGAGGACATTATCATGAAAGATGTTCTTCTTCTTTGGGAACAAATGCAGCAGCTGGCTCATGAGATACGAGGAATTGGTATACAGATTTCGAAATTAGAGAATTTAAAAAGTAAATCAGTCAGTAACAATCTTATGGAATTTATTGCAAGAGGGAAAATAGTAGAAAATACCATGAAACCTCAAGAGGAAATAAAAAAAGTTGTTAATTCTGAAAATAAAACTTGTATTTATGAAGCAAAAAAAAATGTACAGACAAAAAAACCTCAGGATCTCAAGGCGTTCTTCTCCTCCAAAAAACTACAAATTGAAAATCAAAAAAAAAAAACAAATGCTGTAGTACTAAATTCAAAAATTGATGAATCTGTTTTGGCAGAACTTCCAGAAGATATTAGATTAGAAATTCTAAAAATGCATAACCATGATATTAATTTTAAAAATCCGTCTAATTCCGAGAAATCAAATTCTCAAAAATTGAGTACCCAACCTGGGGAGAATGAAAATCCCCCAAATGGAAAATTTCTGCCTTCATCCAAACTGATTGATGAAGATGTGTTGATTGAACTTCCTGAAGACATAAGAAACGAGGTTCTCGCTTCAAAACCAACGGTAAAAAAAACGCACATGAATGCAATAAACAATTACTTCAAGAATAAAAAAAGTGGTACCTATTTTAAAGCGAAAATGCCCACCATGCAGGAGCTAGATATGCAAGTGTTGACAGAATTACCTGATGATATTAGAAACGAAATATTGAATGAGTACCGAGTGCACGAAAATGAACCTTCGGCTGATAGGGAAAATCTAACGCAGGAATTACTTCTTCAAGAATCAAGAAGAAATGTGGGGAGCACTAAAAACAATAAAAATACTATCGAAGACTTGAATTGTTCCTTTCCCCAAGTGGACCCAGAGTTCCTAGCAGCATTGGACAACGAGACTCGGACTGATGTGAAGAAATACTGTTTAGCGAAAAAAAATGAGAAAGAATCGAAGCTAAAGAATATGGCCATCGAGAAGCCGCAGAATGCTAACGATACAAAGCCGAAAAAACGGGGAAGAAAGCCGAAAGCTCTTACTCTAAGAACGACAACTAACAAAAATTCTAACGCCCCTCTCTTTGTTAAGAAAATATCAAGTGAAAGAGGTAGTGACCAGCCTGAGGCCCGAAAAAAGAGTCACAGTTTCTTAGAAAATGAAATGAGTATTTTAGAAGATAGGCTTGTGAGTAATGATCGAGGAGAACAGATTACATTTTATCGCTACAATTCATATAATAATAGTGTCAATAATTTGAATAATGAAGTGAAGACTGAACAGCAGCAGATGTTGAATACCCTGGTGAATTACCTCTTCAGTCTTCCATTACAACAGGTGAAGAGACAAATACAAACATGGATAAATAATTCAGATCACGTCAACGAGATCGATTCGTTATCTATAACAACTTATCTCAGCATGCTGCCGAAAGAAAAACGAATTGAAGATCTACACACTTTAATGAAGACCATGCATAGGTAAAAATGATTCCTCATTTGAATGTTTCTTTTATATTTAAGCGAAATATTTCTTTTTTTTTCATTTATATAATTGAATGGATATAATAAAATAACACTCGAGGCATATAATAGGGATTATTTAATTTTTTTGTTTCCTTGTTTCTTTTTTTCTCTCTCGTAATAAAACAAAAAGTGGTATTATGATAAAAATTACATTAAAATTTACTACATGTTTGTTTGTTTAAGATGTATGACCGAGACTGGAAGTTGCGTTTGGCATGGAACCTATAGGAAAACGGTTGAACACGTTCAACAGTGTATGCAGATTGAGTACAACAGCAATCTAATGTTACCAGCAATCAGATGCAACCTTCGCCAATGCAAAAGTGATCGTGTGTGACAACGTAATTTTTTTATATTGCGTTTTTTTGTTGGATTTCTTGTTTGTTTTTTTTCTTCTCTTTTATGTCTTGAATAAATTATTATTTTACAATTGACCTAATAGAAACATATTTACAAGCAAACATGATATACTTACCTTCGACCTTAATGTACACAATACCACCATTCCTTAATCAGCGCAATGACTTATTCATTATAACTGTGTTAATAGTTTCTGTCTCTTCCATTCTGTTTTTTACGTATCAAAGGAAGAACAATATATCTGCTTATATTGAGTAGTTCCTCATTGATAATAGATAATTAGTTGTTGTGTTGTTTTTTTCTGCCTTTTGCAATATAAACCAGTAAGAATTCATAAATTTATCAGATTCTCAAATGCTCTTTTTACTTTTCATAATAGATATATTCTTCTAAATATAGTTCTTGTTTGTTTTACTTTTCAGTTGTTGTTGTTGTTATGCGCAATGGATGGTGAAAAAATAGAAAGGGGAGGAGGTGGAATTGATGTAAGAATCAATTGTTCACTACTCCCACTCGGTTGTGCCAGGAGGTTTCGATGATAGATCGTAAAGAACGCGAGAGATACCGGGTACTGTTGATATTTCAGTTACAATTTTCTTGACGACCTGAAAAGAAAAGGTTCATGATAATTATCATATTCTATTTTGCATTTTATATGAATGAAGAAAGACTTTGAAATTTAAAAAATAGTCTTAGTGGAGAAAAGATAAGATTTTGCAATACTTTTCCATTTTATTTTGCTGAAAATTTTTGGAAGGATCTTTCCTTCAAACCCACTTATTTTGGAAATATTTTCTGAGTAATCTACATGAAATTTCGAACTCTTACATACATATTATTTTCGGAATATCTCAGAAATAAAAGCGTTTAGGAGATTTGACAAGGAGACTCAAACTCTTTAGTTCCCGAGATTCTTGCACTTCTCATCACGCTCACAGAGAAAAAAAATCTTTCAATTTCAAAACGCTGTCATTCTGAAATCTAGTCAGCTAAAAATTCAAAAATTTTTCGGAAAACTCAGAGAATAAAAGTTGTAGTTCTCGGTAATTTTTACGTGAATCTACTGAATTGTATTTAACTAAAGTCACATGTTCTCTTGTCTTGGGAAAATCTTGATTCTGGAATTCAGGACTTGAGTTCTCAGAATAAGAACCTTGGGGTTGCTTAACAGATGATTTTTCCTTTTCTAAAATTAATCTACTCATGTTTACAAATCCTTTGTTGTGAAAAGTATATCAAATGGCACCTTGACTCAATTAATGTTTAATTATTCCGTAATTTCATCCCTTTCGAAAGATTTCCATTTGAAAACACAAAGGTTTTCTCACTGGAAATCAGTAGATTTTTAGTACTTGCAAGTATCCAATTTTTTATTCTCACTGCAATGCCTTGTAGAACCATGAGGTTCTTAAAATCAGTAACTTGGATCCGGAAACTAGACATTTTTTTTTCTCTGCCGTGTCATAAAATTGGGTAAATAAGTATTCAAAATAATTTCCAACCTTTCGTCCAGCAGTACGAATCGTATGAGCATGTGCATGTAGCCAAAATCTTGAAAGAAACAATAACAATACTTACATGCACTGGCAACTGATTTCCCGGTACGGCAGGTGTACCAGTCATGAAATCACTGGAACAGAATGGCCTGAGTACAACAGAACGCTGGCACGATGGTGCCCTAGAGGCAGCGTCACGATCAAAGTGCACAGGAATGAGAATGACTGGCATTTGACTGATTGCCCCCATGCAACCATTACTAGCCAATACTTGATTAGCTAAATGATCAACCTGCCTAAGTGTTGATATGACATTTGATGTCAAATGTGTCGGGGTAATGTCTGTAACCGGATGATGCACCATAGGTCCAAATATATAGCATACGCGGTTGACATTGTGACACACACGGGGTATGAGTTTCGCAAGGAAGACGAGGTCATCCCAGTTGATCGCCTCCGGTGCTACTTCCTCAAGGGACAGACCAACTACGTAACTGTAACTTCTTCGATCGCCCTGAAAACAATTTGCACGTTTAGTTAATTGATTTAAGAAGGCAACAGCGATGAGCAATTTCGTTGTATGAGAATGGGAGTGTCAGCTATAATTTCCTACTGGTTAACCTATAGAAAACCTCATTCCATCATAAAATCACTCAGATTTCATCTTTTCTTCATTCAATTGTAGAGACATCAATAGCGAAGCGATAAAACGGTTAAGCCGATTTTGACTATTGGCCGGTTTTCAATACATATCTCGAAATCCAAGAGAGTTTGGCAGCTTGTCAGTGCAATCTATTTCCATGAGACGGTTCAATAGAACACGTTTCATATAAAAAATCAATAGAAAATTATTTTTGTACAGAGCACTTATTTTCTTTGGATGGTTTTTGTAGAAATCCCTGCGCCTGGATTTCCAAGTTGTTTTTCCATCATTTTGTCAAGTATGTTTTATCGATCTCTTCCAATAGGAATTGCATAGAATTTTCTACCGATTGCACTAGTTTTGAAAATTAAATTTTTTGTACATGTATTAGTTCTTGACTTTTCCATGCCGTTAGATACAAAATATGTTCGATCTTGGGTCCTTTTACAAGTTGTTCTGGTTTAACAATCTCATTTATCTGTTTAAAAATTGATTCGTCCATAATTTAGATATTTACATGATGTTGGAACGATGCAGAATCATGTCATCTCTCAAATTTCCTATTCAGTAAAAGAACTGGTAAAACGGTTTGAATTGAGTCGGTAATAAGTAGTCACTCGTTGAGGGATATTAGATAAAAAAATTTCTCAACTTTAAAAAAGGTCGATCGATATACTCTACTCATTCGTTGTTTTAATACTTTATTACTGTATTACTTCCTCATAAATATGTTCACAGCTTCCAAAATAGTTTTTACGGAGTCGACAAACAGCCGGAAAATTCTCACAATGAAATACATATGTAGCAAATATCGTAACGCTCTTGAGCAAATATGAAGTGCCTATTATTATTGGGGGGGAAAGTGGCTAAACTTACTTGAACACCAACACTACGTATTGGCAAGAGTGTTGCTGCAATGTGATGACTACTCGATACCCTTCGCAGACACTGACGTTCGGCCTCACTGGTCGCACCCTCAACGCGATTCAATAATGCATGCTTCTTCTGGAGCATTTGCTCGTATTCTGCCATTATTTTTACAATAACCTAATTTAAAGAATTGAACACAAAATAAATATTAAGGTTGGCAAATTAATCGTCTGTCATGTGATTAACGTTGATTCATTTTTACTTGAGTTTCTGAGAAATCCTTATCCATAAATGGATCAACAGCGCAGAGAATACGAATGGCCAGGCCAGGCCCAGGATAGGGATGTCGTTGTACGAGAGGTGATGGTAATCCAAGATCACACCCAATTTGTCGTACTTCGTCTTTATGAAAGTCCTTCAGAGGCTCCACCACTCTGCCCTGATCTCTGAGCGCCCTCACGAGTTCGCTGTCGTTGTGATGAGTTTTAATTGCATCAGCTTTGCCTGAAATAAATAAAACATCTAAGCATTAGATTAATCATTCGATGAATATCTCAGGAAACTCAAGGTCCTTAACATTCTTCTCCAAATCCAGACTTTCTCAAGATATTCCCAAAATAATAAATAAAAACCAAGAATTTCTACAAATATTCGTACCACTTGCTAATGCACTGGCGCTCTCGATAAGATCAGGTCTGAGTGTTCCCTGTCCAAGAAAAACCTCTTCCGGTTTGAGTCCCATCTCAGTCATAGCATCATTAGCCACTCTCACAAAAACATCACCAATGATTTTTCGTTTCTCCTCAGGATTTGTTGTCTGGCAGAGCATTTTCGTTAATCTAGTCCTTGGACTAATTGACGTACCACCAATTCCCTTATTATTAATAGCATTAGCTAGTAAAACATTGTCAAGTGGCACTGAAGTTGTGCCCTCCATAAAATTGTGGGCGGCATTAACAACACGAAGTTTAATACCCAACTGAGCCAAACTCTGCTCAACAAATGGTGTTTCTCCTTTGCGCATAAAGCCATTATTAATGTGCAATGGAATAACTTGCTCCTTATTCAATGCCTTATGAAGGAGTGCAGCACATACAGTTGAATCAACTCCACCACTGACTAACAGCAGTACTTTATTATTACCAACTGTTTCTCTGATGTATTGAATGCACATTGCTTCCCGTCCTCTCATTGTATAATTACCAGACAATCCAACAATACCAAACAAAAAGTTGTGTAACATTTGTTTACCATTTGGTGTTAAATCTACCTCAGGATGAAACTGTACTCCGTACAAATTCATTTTATCACTGGCTATACCAACTATGAAGTTAGATGATTTAGCTGTTGTACGGAAACAATCAGCAACCCTATCTATACTGTCACCGTGGGTAAGCAGCACTAATTGATCTTTTTCGAAGCCCTTGAATAACAGGCACTTGGTATCTACTTCAATCGAAAATTGTCCATCCTCCCTGCCTTCTTTTCTTATTACCGTACCACCAAATTCTTTATTCATCATCTGCATACCATAGCAAATTCCTAGTACTGGAATCCCTATTCGGAAGATGTCACCGTCGTATCGAGGAGCATCCTCGGCGTACACTGAGTTTGGACCTCCGGATATTATGATAGCCCTTTGTCAAAAATAAAACCACATTTTACAATATTACCACTGAAATAAACAACAATAGGACTAATCACGAATGTTTTTATGTAAATTTAAACAATATTATGCTACTTTTTTTATATGCCTTATGGCTTTTTTTGGTTCATGTAATAATCGTGTATTTGCCCTTAGGGGGTGCATTCTTACCCCAGGGCAGCGATAAAATGCTCAAATAAATAAATAAATATTTCATTGAGACTCTCGCAAATATCTGATGAATCATCGTGTTATTTATACAAAATAATCTGCGTCTCAATTCAATTACCTAACTAATTAAAATTGGAGAAATATTGAGTTTCATTTGATTTTTCATAGACTCACTTGTATCCTTTCTCTTTCAGCACATATGCTGGTGTGTCTAACGGTAAAATTTCACACTCAACATTCAATTCCCGGACTTTACGATCGATCACCTTCCCATACTGAGCACCAGCATCAAGGATAGCGACTCTCTCATCGACATTAGCCAGAGTCATTGGCACATCTTCAGCACCATTATTTCTGTCTGGATGAAATGTCAGCGCATCGGTTGTTTTGTCCATTGTAATATCAACGATCCTAAAATTCAGCGATATACACGTGATTCTCAGTCAAACTGAAAAGTCAAACAAATTGCAATTTTATTTTATCATTGTTTGCTCCATACTGTACCATTGTGTAAGAGGTTATCAATTATTTTTGTTCTTTTTCCTCTTTTTCGTTATTTCTATCATCAAACATTAGTCCTACAAGTTCACTGGCATTTTTTTTCTCATTTATTTGTAGCTCTCCTGTCCAATCTCCAGTTTATATGACTCGCAAATTATCAAATAACAACAGCTCCCAAGATGGTATGTTAATAATGCGAAATAATGATAAAAAATTAAGAATTTTCAATTTTTAATTAGATGCATTTTCTAAGATTGAAATATGAATCCCATTGATTTGATGAAAATTGATGCCTTGGACATGCTAAAGGTAACTCTAGAACTTGACAAACTATATATGCAGAAGGTCTGCCATAAGCGGTTTCTGAATAGCATATATATCCCGGAATTCAACATCAATTCCAAAAGAATTTGTCAATACATTCACCTACCTATGATCTCATTTGGTCAAATAATTCCAATTAATTATTCATTATAGACTCGCTCCGCCATAAGAATGAGAATATTTTCCAATAAAAACAAGTCACCGGTTTGGCAGTGAGGTGACCACCACGTTTTGGAGCAACGAAAGACACTCAAGTGTAAAACAATTGGTGAAATATTATTCACAATGAATTTACTGGGACTAATAACTGACGATGGATTATTGATTACTCACCGGCCTAGAGAAAATAACGGTTTGTTCTATGCACGTTCCACTAACTTGGAAAGTAATGAATTTGAGAAAAACAGAGTAGGCGCACACTGAACGAGGCGGCCATTCATCGCCACAATCAGCCACAATGCCAGTAAACCACTGATCATCATTTGGTCTACGTAGAGGGGTAAGGTAGGTTTGCGGATGTTGATCGCGATTGTGGAGGCCTCTAGTTGAGAGACGGCACTCTCACAGGAAGCAGTTGCTGGTGTTTGAAAGGCCTAATAATTTGAATTGATGTTGGAAGAGGAGTAAGAGTACTGTGTGCTTTTTCAATGTGTATGATAGTAGATTGTGCTCCAAGGAAAGAAAACAGGCCATTGCAACTCGCGTGTGGATTGCCGTCCAAGGCAAAGCCAAGCTTTAGAACGGTCANAGTCACATGAAAATTAAGGTAAGAATTATTAATAGATTTTTTTACTCAGAAGATATTATGCTTTTGCTGAGAGAAATCCAATATTGAAATGATTTATTCTACAAATTTTCATGTTGCGCATATAGAAACTGTGGAAAAAAATCATCACACTATGTTTTCCTTCTAATCACATATTTTATTTATTCTCCATTGATGATTAATCATCTTCTGTAATTTTATTCTCGGTTGTTAATGTCCCTCTGAAAAAACATTGCACATCTCACAAACTAAACATTTGTAAGAAAAAAACCGAAATGTCACCAAAAGCTTATGAAAATCTCTAAATGTGACTTTTTTTATTTTTCAAATTGAGCTATTCAAACGTAAGTTAGACCTTGACAAACATTTATCCTTTGACAGCGGATTAAACTTTGGGATTTAGAAGGGGGGAAAAAAGGAAAAATATCACCATTAGATTGGGGCAAATTCTAAGGGTGACATTTTTTTTTTTTTTTTTAATCAATTCCGAAGCTAGATATCCACTTTCAATTGCTTTCAAAAGTTAATATTTCATTAAACTTACCCTTGAAATTATATTTTTATATAATTGGCATCTATCACCACTAAATCTCTTCCCATAAAAAAAAACAAAATTTGAAATTTTTTAATTCCTCGATTTTTCACTGAGATATCCGCTGTTAAAGAGGATTTTCAGCAAACTTCAGGGTCATAAATCGTCTATATACTCCTATCGCACATGTTACGTGCACGTTGATGAAACTTTAAGGTACACGTTAAGTGCACGTTACAGACACTTCAAGGTGGCCTCCATTCCATGCTGAAGTGTGAACGTTAGGTACCCAAATCGTCTATATACCCCTATCGCACACGTTACGTGCACGTTAATGAAACTTTAAGGTTCACGTTAAAGGCACGTCAAGGTACACCTCAAATCCACGCTAAAGTGTGAACGTTAGGTACATAAATCGTCTATATGCCTCTAACGTACATTTAACGTGTATGTTAGAGGCATATAGACGATTCAGGCAATCCAAGGTACACGTGAAATCCACACAAAATAACTCATCACTTACCTTGGTATCAACGTTGTGTACATGAATAGTCCTCGTCCCGCCCGTCCACGTTAAAGTCACGTCGAAATTAAAGTCGTTGAAAACAAGGCACACGAAGTGCACGGTAAAATCACCTTAGAATTAAAGTCGTTTAATGACACACAAAAGGCACATGGAAAATTCAATCAATTTTATAAAATAGTGTCTCTTCTAGGGAATTTTTTAGGGAGTAAGTACTTTTAATGTGCGCTTAACGTGTCTTTAACGTATATATTTTTTCCACGTGCCTTTTACGTGTACGTAAGGGACACGTTAAAGGCACGTTATTTCCACGTTATGTACAAACATCCATAGCGTTCATTTATTACTGTTTCATCACTGAATCAAGTTGTTAAACTGACTATTATTGATGGTGTTCTTCAACTACTTTCAATGAGTGCGCAGAGGATTAGCTATACTACTCATACCAATTATGCAGTATTTAACTAAGGTATGTTATATGAACCAAAAAAACACGGCGTTCAACAAAATAAAAATATTTTCAATATTGTTATATTTCTCCATTTTTGAATATTTTCCAATTTCAAACTTGTTTTTATATCTCATTTAACAAAATAATCTATTATTTCGCATATTGCACAATATTGAATCACAACATCCAATTTTCCCGTTTTTTGGCAGGAACATTTTTTAGAATTCGATTTAATCAATCAGACATAATCCTACATATGGGATGGTTTTGTGAATATCGGCAAGTCATTGTTTGATATCCATTTCAATAGTTTATAGTTTATATACATATTTTAATAGTTTATATACATATTGTCACTCGAGCCGAAATAACCGATTTCTTCATTATGTCAACAAAAGAATACTCAACGTTTAATATAAGACTAATTTGCAATTACTCATTGTATTGTCTAGCTTGATTTAATAACTATTCTTCCAATACGGACGTAGATCCAACAAAACTCCTCAGTGGTCTGTTGATTAATCTGTCAGTTTCTGGCTCGGTACTTGAAATTGTAGTTGACTCAACCTCTGACTCTGTCGAATAGCGTCTTCCATCCCTATTTTATGCAATGGCAAAACCTTTTGGATCCGTGGTCGAGGCATTTGGCACTCTCAGCATACGAATTAATCCTACTAATCTCCTCATCAGAAACACTATAATTTCCTTTTCCATGGACTCTAATGGTCGTCTCAAATTTGCCCCCTCCAGGAGTCACTTCAATCAAGTAAAAATACCCCTCAACAGTAATAGAATGAGTTGAAAAATTATGCAGGTCAATAATTTTATCTACTCTATGAATCTTCTTAATCCTAAACTTTGCGCAGAGTCTTTTCCCCTTCTTATCTCTATAATCTTTAACAGTCTTCTCCACATGTTGGAGAAATGCTTTAGCACCTTCTTTAGCAATTTCGTCGTCAGTATTCCCAGGCTTAAAGGCAGTACAAGTGCACCAGTGAGGAGAAACTCCGGCGTCCGCACAACCTCTCTCAATTGGCACTGGTTTTAATAAACTTTGGCATGTGGAACATCCACTGCTGGCATTAGCATCACCTCCAGACTTGATAAGGACATGGCGAAATGTCTCATAAAGGTCATAAGGCGAAGTCAGACGATGCTCATTGATTCTAAGTGATTGAAATACACTGGCATCTTCTTTCATCCACTCCGGTGGTTTCAAGTAAATAAAGGGCAATCTCTCCTCATACCAGCCAATAAATGTATTTCTTATCCCGCCCCACCGCATGCCGTGATCACTCAGAAACACCATCAAAGTATCACTTGTCACTCCTGATTTTTCAAATTTTTCGAACATTTCCAAGAAGTGATCGTCCATAGATGATGGGCCATTCACATCTTCATGACTGACCGTATTTGTCCAGAAGAATCCGAAGTAAGGAAAACCAAGAAATGTCTTGGCAAAGTTCAATGCAGAATCGAAGATCCTGTCGACTACTAATTCAGGTCCAGTGCAGTATTTAGCATTGAATCTTTTTTTGGATTTCAAGAGCTTCTCGGTGGCTATCATATAGGGCCTAAGATAATAATCTGTCGGGGGATCAACAAATCCAACTTTTAGGTAGTTAAATGTGCTCAGAGGGACCACATCTTCAGCATAAGCAGTGACGTATCCAGCGTTTCTGAAATTATGCCATAAAAATGGGCAGTTGTCCAAACCGTAGGCTTGGAATGGCTTGCAGTTCGCATAGGCCGTCGTGCTATTTTGACCGGTGAGAATCGCCATCAAATTTGGAAATGTGTTGTCTCCCATTTTGTTGTATCCTTGCAGGTTGATCCAACCGGTGTCTGTCAAGTAACGCCTGGTCTTTGGTAAGCTTCGCTGAAAATTCAGGCGGGAAACGCTGTCTATTCCTAGGACTAGGATGCTAATTTTTCTTCTGACCCTTGTTTGATTTGTTTGACCCTGTTCAAAGGATTCCGAGATGTTGAGTCTGCTTTGAACCTTTACGGCGCTCAGAATGGGGTGGATGTTCTCGTAGAGGATGTGAGATTTACTGCGGATGTTCTTTGAGGTGCCTTTTGGTCTGCAGGAGAGCATGACAGTTTCTATATCAGGTGGTAGCTGTACGCGATTGTCGAAGTCTTGACATTTTCCTAGGCTGAAAGATGTAGCAAGAATTAGCAGCAGGCATTTTTATGAATCTGGTCCATACGTTAAATATCGAAGGGTATCCATTATGAAACGCGAAATATACTATTTCGGCCTTGTGACGAAAACAGCTCCCAGGCAGCCAAAATCCGCTCTACTGACGTTCTACTGTCGACAGGGACCGATGGGTTGCTGTCGTGCCACCGTCGACAGCAACAGCATCGAAAGGTCGGCAGGACATCGTCAATAGTCGGGGGTTTATGGGGCACAGTAAAACTCGTGAAGGATAGTACCTCTATTCTACATGCAAAAGGCGTATGCGGGAGTCCAGGTAGAACCCTTTGCCAATGATACACTTTTTTACTTTTCATCACGCTGTGACGAAAAGTGAACTTTTCGGCACGCTCGGCGTGCCTAAAAGTCCAATTTCCGCCACATTGTGATGAAAAATATTGTTCGTAACTCGTGAAAAAATGTTTTTTGCACTCGTTACGAAATATACTATTTTAGGCCATATGACGAACAATATTTTTTGTCATAATGGTAGAAATGAAAAAAAGAAATGAGTTACAACACATAAAGAAACGGTCAGATAGCTTCTACCAAAAAGGCTCGAACCCTTGATTGTTTTGTGAAGATTTATACACATTTTTTGAAAATGTTAAAAATTAGAAGATGATCAAAATTCACGATTAGAAAGCTTCCATTCGGAAACAATACGAAAATTTCGCGACCTCCCTTAGATTCGGAGATATGCCTCGAAAGCCCAGACAAGAGCTAAGTCGACTTAAATCATTTTACCGCATCGTTACTGAATTTAGCTACTCGTTGGGTTTATGATATATTTTTTAGACAAATTTTTTTTTTATGTAACTTAGAGTTTTGGAACCAAATTCGGATTCTACGATGAGTATATTCTGAACAATATTGGGAAGGACGCATTGAAACGATTTCCAACTTATTCATAGCATTTTTTTACTATCAACATATAAAAATAAAAACTTTTCAGTGTCCTCTAAATCTGGTGGTTTTAGAGATAATTTTGAAATAATGTATGTAAAACTATTGAACTTGACTGGATTTCTCACTACTGTGAGTAAGTTTTATTTGTTGTCTGAAAAGTACTTACTCAATTTTTGTATCCCACTCTCCTGTAGGGGGTTTTTTAGGGACAGGCCGTGTGATTGGAGACCAGCAACAGACGAATTTTTTGTAGCTTTTGGCAACTTTTTGATCAATGACTAGAGCGTATGATCCATTTACATCTTTCTCAATGAAGCTCAGGAGAGGACCATGAGAACATGGCTCAAATTTTTGTTTTTTTATGTATTGAGTTATCGATGGGTCCATAGGGTTTTCCGAAAGCATATGACATTTTGGGTTCCAAACTAAGTATCCATCCACTAATTCTGCAATATTCAAAAATCCAAAGATCATAGATGTGTAATGAAACACATTCAACCAAAGTCAACAATAACTTGATTGAAAGAAGATATAGAAAGGTTCCTGTTTCTATTTAAGCTCATTCTTTTTCAGAATGACAATTTAAACTTTACTACAGATATAATAGTTACAGCGTAACTAATCTCGTTAGTTTCAGAATTATATCGAACACGACTGATGTTGGAAAAAATAATCAGAAAAGCCTCTTTGCCCTCCTTTTTCGTTATTCGATGCTCCCATACGTATTTTGCTCCTGGCAAATGTTCCTTTTATATAAAACGTTGAATAGTAATCTGTCGTTTCAGTTATTCAATAATCACAAACAAAAAAAGAATTTCTCAAATGAAATAACATTTATATGAAAGCAATGTTGTAACTTAACGAGAAAATATTTCTTAATAAACTTCTCTCTATAAAAGATATTTTTATTCAGAAAAGGCACTGTCTCGTATGAATGATTCGTTTGTTGTGCCAAATATTTCGTTGGTGTTGAAAGCACAGCAATTATTCACGTTAGAAATTTTCAAAGGCGAACCAAACAATTATTTTCTTGGTAATTTTCAACTAACGATTTGGTTGGTCCAAACGAGATTTGTTTGAGAACTTGTTTGTTTGTCCTTAGTATACACTGTAAAAAATTTGGTGTCAAAATCACACCGATCGGTGTCCTAATGAGTCCACACCGTTTTTGGTGTGGAGTTGCGGTGTTAAAATAACACTGCACCATAGGACATCGCGTGTAAAATCTGGTGTTACCCGTATAGAAAAAAATATAAGCCAAAACTTATAAGTGAGATATAGTGATTTTGCCGGAATTATATCTTGAATATATCCGCCTTGTATACCAGGTATATGCTAGGTATACCCGGTGGCATATATGTACACACATATATCCAACATATATCTCAAATATTGCATTTTTTGCCGGAAAGTATACCATATATAAGCGGATATAAGTGACATATATTTCTGTATATATATTTTTTCCATGTGGGTAATTCAACACCGAACGGTGTCCCAAGAAGTCCACACCGGATTTTTTACTATGTACTGTATCTTGTTCAAGATTCTGCCAGCCGTTGCTAACCCAAAAATGGTTAATAAGCATTTTCACGGTTTTGCATCACTAGTACAACAATATGTCAGCTAAATAGCTCCATACTAAGAGGCTGGACTCAGGTAACACCGTGAGACTGCTGATTCAATTTCCCAGCCTCGTAAACTTATGTTTGTTGAGAAATTAATAATCAAATGGAATCGGCGTGTGAAATTCCTGAAATCAACTCCTTTTTTTCTAGTTTGCAGCAAATATAAATTTTTGAAAAATAATAAAATACAGTAAAATACAATATGTGCTTGAATGCAATATGCACTGTAATTTAAAGAATCTTGACAATTTGCTTATCCTCCTACAAAGAAAAGAGGCTGAACTTATCAAAATTATCATGATTACGTTCAATGACTTTATTACTATATTCAAAATTCAATTTTTTTTGGCCTTGTATTCATCGAAGTTTTTATGACCAATTTTCGACATTTTTTTCCAAGAATTAGGAAAAATTCTGAATTCTGGATAAATGCATGTTAGAAATGTAACGAACATGTGGGGATGTTC